GGGAGGGGGATGGGGAGGGAAGAGCCGTCGACTATTGAGTCGACTCATCAGTCACAACAGCCTCACCTCGCGTTTGGAAGTCGTTGGTGAGCACTCTGGGCGCGCTTCACAGCCCAGGGCGCGCTTCACAGCCCAGGGCGCGCTTCACAGCCCAGGGCGCGCTTCACAGCCCAGGGCGCGCTTCACAGCCCAGGGCGCGCTTCACAGCCCAGGGCGCGCTTCACAGCCCAGGGCGCGCTTCACAGCCCAGGGCGCGCTTCACAGCCCAGGGCGCGCTTCACAGCCGGGCGCGCTTCACAGCCCAGGGCGCGCTTCACAGCCCAGGGCGCGCTTCACAGCCCAAGGGCGCGCTTCACAGCCCAGGGCGCGCTTCACAGCCCAGGGCGCGCTTCACAGCCCAGGGCGCGCGCTTTCACAGCCCAGGGCGCGCTTCACAGCCCAGGGCGCGCTTCACAGCCCAGGGCGCGCTTCACAGCCCAGGCGCGCTTCACAGCCCAGGGCGCGCTTCACAGCCCAGGGCGCGCTTCACAGCCCAGGCGCGCTTCACAGCCCAGGGCGCGCTTCACAGCCCAGGGCGCGCTTCACAGCCCAGGGCGCGCTTCACAGCCCAGGGCGCGCTTCACAGCCCAGGGCGCGCTTCACAGCCCAGGGCGCGCTTCACAGCCCAGGGCGCGCTTCACAGCCCAGGCGCGCTTCACAGCCCAGGGCGCGCTTCACAGCCCAGGCGCGCTTCACAGCCCAGGGCGCGCTTCACAGCCCAGGGCGCGCTTCACAGCCCAGGCGCGCAGCGCCATCGTGTGCACTAAGAGTCGACTGGAAACACACACATCACAACCAGCCCACCCACCTCATCGCGCCGAAAGTCATTAGTGAGCACTCTAGCGCGCTTCACAGCCCAGGCGCGCAGCCATCATGTGCACTATGAGTCGACTGGAAACACACACATCACAACCAGCCCACCCACCTCGCGCCGAAAGTCATTAGTGAGCACTCTAGCGCGCTTCACAGCCCAGGGCGTGCACCCGTCGAGGGGCTCACTCCCCGGTACACGTCACCATACCCGCCGCTGCCTATGCGCCTGTCCGCCGCCCACCCTCCTGTTGCGCGCAGTACATCCGCCATGCCCACCTGCTGCACAGCAGCGGCACTGGGAGGAGGGCGGAGGAGGAGGGGGCGACAACAGGAGGGGGAGGAGGGGGAGGAGGAGGCTGCGAAGGAGGGGTGGAAGGTTGGGAGGTGTGGAGGAGGCAGGTCAGTGTGGGAAAGATTGTGCCATGAGTCCAAATGCTCATTTCCCCTGTTGCCTGCAACGACACCCCCCCCTCCTCCCTGCAAGTCCCCTTCGTGATTCTCCCCTCTTCCTCCATCTGCCTCAGTGCTGCTGCCACATCATCACGCACTATCTCCAGCTCAGCAAGAACTCGTCCCAAGGAGGGCCGGGAGGAAGCAGGCATGGCGGTGCATGCGAGCCCAACACGAGCCAGCCGCACCAAGCTAGGAATAAGAGCATTCGGTATCAGCATAATTACTGTTCCCAGTCGGTCGGGAACATTGGGAACATTGGGAACACCCAGTGTAGTATCAGCAGCGCTCGCAGCTGCTGTGCCTGCTGTGGTGGTGGTGCTGATGGTGCTAGAGGGTGCGCTGGTGCTGCTGGTGGCGCTGCTGGTGGCGCTGCTGGTGGGGATGCTGGTGGGGATGCTGGTGGGGATGCTGGCGCTGGTATCGGTGTGGGTGGGAGGGAAGAGGAGGCGAGCGCGGGATCGAAGAGAGCAGCCAAGTTGTTGGCTTGAAGCTGCGTGCCAACGTGGTGTGGGGTGAAGGGCGGGAACATAGAGGGTGGGGTGGAGCATGGGGGACAGCGCAAGGGGAGAAAGAGGAGGTGAGATAAGTCGATTTTTGAGTCGACTAAAAAACAGAAACACTGTGACCCCAGAGAAGGTGGGTACATGTGGGGAAACATGTTGATGGAGCAGCATGGAGGGAGAAGCATGGAGGGAGGAGCATGGAGGAGAAGCATGGAGGGAGGAGCATGGAGGGAGGAGCATGGAGGGAGAAGCATGGGGGTAGGAACATAGATAGAGGGTGGAGCATGGAGGGAGGGGGCATGGGGGACGGAGCACAGGGGAGGAACATAAAGGGTGGAGCATGGGTGGTAGAGCATGGGGCGGTAGAGCATGGGGCGGTAGAGCATGAGGGGAGGAGCAAAAAAAAACAAAAAAACAATAATAATAATAAAAAATCGGTAGTGATAAGGAAAGGGGTTCTCTTGTTTTCAGCATCAGGGGTCTGGGTGGTTGAGTCTCTTGTTTCAAGTGGGGGGGGTACTTCGTTCAGAAGTCTTTGGACCAGACTCACACTTGGAACACTGCCAGCCATGCAGGTACTGCGCTGCTGGCATGCCTCTCAGGCACTCACCAATCGCCCTCCCCCCAATGCTCCTCCTCAGCACTCACCACTCGCCCTCCCCCCAATGCTCCTCCTCAGCACTCACCACTCGCCCTTCCTTCCCCAATGCTCCTCTCAGCACTCACCACTCGCCCTCCCCACCCAATGCTCCTCTCAGCACTCACCACTCGCCCTCCCCCCAATGCTCCCTCTCAGCACTCACCACTCGCCCTCCCCCCAATGCTCCTCTCAGCACTCACCACTCGCCCTCCCCCCAAATGCTCCTCTCAGCCACTCACCACTCGCCCTCCACCCCAATGCTCCTCCTCAGCACTCACCACTCGCCCTCCCCCCACAATGCTCCTCTCAGCACTCACCACTCGCCCTCCCCCCAATGCTCCTCTCAGCACTCACCACTCGCCCTCCCCCCAATGTTCCTCTCAGCACTCACCACTCGCCCTCCCCCCAATGCTCTCTCCAGCACTCACCACTCGCCCTCCCCCCAATGCTCCTCTCAGCACTCACCACTCGCCCCTCCCCCCAATGCTCCTCTCAGCACTCACCACTCGCCCTCCCCCCAATGTTCCTCTCAGCACTCACCACTCGCCCTCCCCCCAATGCTCCTCTCAGCACTCACCACTACGCCCCTCCCCCCAATGCTCCTCTCAGCACTCACCACTCGCCCTCCCCCCCAATGCTCCTCTCAGCACTCACCACTCGCCCTCCCCCCAATGGTCCTCTCAGCACTCACCACTCGCCCTCCCCCCCGATGCTCCTCTCGCTCTCACAGCCTCTCTGAAAAACTCGGGCATGGTCTTCCCTGAGGCGAGTTGATTTTTGAGTCGACTCAAAAATCCTCTAGCACGCAACATCAAATCCTCTCACCCTCAATACTCACAGCCTCTCTGAAAAACTCGGGCATGGTCTTCCCTGAAGCGTCGGAGATGCGGCCTGAGAGCAGCTGCAGCAGCACCACTCCCAGACTGGTGGGAGCGGGGCGAAGAGGCGGAGCAGGGATGGGTGGGAAGAAGGGGGAGCAGGGATGGGTGGGAAGAAGGGGGGGCAGGGATGGGGAGGAGAGCAGGGACAGAAATGCGGCCTGACAGCAGCTGCAGCAGCACCGCTCTTAGACTGCTCGCCACTCGCTGCAGCCTTTTGAGACGTCCTCTATAGTACAGGGACCCGCACTTGTAGAGGTCATCTGTGGTTGTTAGCGGTTGTTAGTGGTTGCTAGTGGTTGTTAGTGGTTGTTTAGTGGTTGTTAGTTACTGCCGTGCGTGGTTACAGTGGTTACAGCGATCTGCCACCTTAGAGGTCATTGGTGGATGTGTGCTGCTGGTGTGAGCAGCAGACTGCAGGTTCACATGTGACGTACCACGCACGCCACCACCGCCATGCTGCTCGCCACTTGCTGCAGCCTTTTGAGACGTTTCAAAAGTACAGGGACCCCTACGGGTCATTCGTGGTTGTTAGTGGTTGTTAGTTATTGCGTGCGTAGGTACATGGTTCCGCACCTGTAGAGATCATTGGTGGGTGTGTGCTCCTGGGTGAGCAGTAGGTGAGGATCCACATACCCCCGCACGCCCACCACCGCGTGCTGCTCGCCACTCGCTGCAGCCCTGCGCGTCGTCACATAGTCAAACCCTGCAATCTTCGGCCTGCCGTGGCGTTGTGTTGGGCAAGTGTAGCGCAGTGACGTGCGGGACATGCGGGGTGGCATCATGTCATGTGGTCCGGGCAGGATGGGGGGGGAAGGGGGAGAGGGAGAGGGGGAAATGCTTTCTACAGCATCAGTGTAACAGGGCAGGGTAACCCAATCCTATATGGACGCTGCTCCACACCACACAGCACACTCATGTGTGGAGTCATGTGGGCGGGTCATGTGGTGTCGTGTGGTGTCATGTGGAGTCATGTGGTGTCGTGTGGTGTCGTGTGGTGTCGTGTGGAGTGGAGGATGATGGTGCCCTCACAGCACACTCACAGCACACGCACAGCACACTCACAGCACACTCACAGCACACTCACAGCACACTCACAGCACACTCACAGCACACTCATAGCACACTCACAGCACACTCACAGCACACTCACAGCACACTCACAGCACACTCACAGCACACTCACAGCACACTCACAGCGCACTCACAGCACACTCACAGCACACTCACAGCACACTCACAGCACACTCACAGCACATTCACAGCACACTCACAGCACACTCACAGCACACTCACAGCACACTCACTCACCTGCATGTTTGCCGTCAGAAAGATGCTTCTAACGCAAAGGCAGCGATGCACGATTCCAAAGCTGTGCAGATACTCCAACCCGTGCGCCACCCCTATCAGAATGCCCAGCCGCTGCTGCAGGGTCAACGGCACGCCGGTGCAACCTGCGAGGAGAAGAGGGAGAAAGAATGCGCTGTAGGGTAGATTGAAATCTCGCACCAACGTAACGGAATACTTTTGAGTCGACTCAAAAGAGAAATGTGTTGATTCGACTCAAAAGAAAGCATAAAGCGCGAGCGATGGGCAGATGGTAGGTCAAGGGCAGGCAGACCTAGCAGGCCAAGGGGGAAAAGGACAGGTAGGCAGACCTAGCAGGGCCAAGGGGAAAAGGACAGGTAGGCAGACCTAGCAGGGCCAAGGGGGAAAAGGACAGGTAGGCAGACCTAGCAGGGCCAAGGGGGAAAAGGGAGCTAGATGCACAAAAGAAGCACACGAGGCAGAACAGGCAAGGACAAGGGCGAGGGAGGGGCAGAACAGGCAAGGACAAGGGCGAGTGAGAGGCAGAACAGGCAAGGGCAAGGGCGAGAGAGGGGCAGAACCAGCAAGCACCTACATGTTTGGAGTTGGCATGGATGCTTACTGCACTTACTGCGACATGGGCTCGGTCAGAAAGAGAGGTGTGTGATGGGATGGGCCACTATTTTCTAGTCGACTCAAACACGGCCCCTCGTCAGAAAGAGAGGTGGGTGAAGCGGCATGCCTCACCTGACCCACCCGGTTGAAACAGGTCGAGAAGGCTGCCAGCTGTCATGAACTCATAAACCACCTTCTCCCACCGCCCCTGCTTGTCGCATAATCGCATTTTGAGACGTCTCAAATCCCACCCGGTTGAAAAATATCAACAGAACTTCTGGCAGTCATGAACTCATATACCACCACCTTCTCCCACCGGCCCTGCTCGTCACGTCTCAAAAGAACTTTGAGACGTCTCATAAGGTGTGATGCGGCATACCTGAGTCCTGACCCACCCGGTTGAAACATGTCGAGCAGGCTGCCAGCTGTCATGACCTCATACATACACAACCACCTTCTCCCACCGCCCCTGCTTGTCACGCCTCATAAGGTGTGTGATGCGGCATGCCTGTTTCCTCCTAACCCACCCGGTTGAAACATGTCGTGAAGGCTGCCGGCAGTCATAAACTCATACACCACCACCTTCTCCCACCGGCCCTGCTCGTCACGTCTCAAAAGAACTTTGAGACGTCTCATAAGGTGTGATGCGGCATGCCTGTTTCCTCCTAACCCACCTGGTTGAAACATGTCGTGAAGGCTGCCAGAAGTCATGAACTCATACACAACCACCTTCTCCCACCGCCCCTGCTTGACACGCCTCATAAGGCGTGTGATGCGGCATGCCTGTTTCCTCCCAACCCACCTGGTTGAAACATGTCGTGAAGGCTGCCGGCAGTCATAAACTCATACACAACCACCTTCTCCCACCGCCCCTGCTTGTCGCGCTCGTCGCAGTACCCCAAGAAGCCGCACCAGGTTGGGATGGTTCTTGTATCCCATCTCCGCCACCTGGGGGCAGGCAAGGCAAGGCAGGGGGTGGGGCGTGGGGAAGGCAAGGCAGGGGGTGGGGAGCGGTGAAGGCAAGTCAGGGGGTGGGGGGGGAGGGAGAGGGCAAGAGGAGCAACGCTTCACAAACCCCGCCCACGCTTCACACGTGGCAGTGTGGCAGCGTGGCAGTGTGGCAGCGTGGCAGTGTGACAGCGTGGCAGTGTGGCAGCGTGGCAGTGTGGCAGCGTGGCAGTGTGACAGCGTGGCAGTGTGACAGCATGGCAGTGTGGCAGCGTGGCAGTGTGACAGCGTGGCAGTGTGACAGTGTGGCAGTGTGACAGCGTGGCAGTGTGGCAGCGTGGCAGTGTGGCAGCGTGGCAGTGTGACAGCATGGCAGAGTGACAGCGTGGCAGTGTGACAGCATGCAGTGTGACAGCGTGGCAGTGTGGCAGCGTGGCAGTGTGACAGCGTGGCAGTGTGACAGCATGGCCTTATCAGACGGACTCCCCGTGGCGTGGGGGACGACACGACAATGCAGAGCGGTTTTCCTTGGGAAATGTGTGCAGTGCGATCTGTGTGCGACTTGAAACAGCAAAATCTAGTGGCTAATCTAGTGGCTAATCTAGTGGCTAATCTAGTGGCTAATCTAGAGGCTAATCTAGTGGCTAATCTAGTGGCTAATCTAGAGGCTAATCTTCTAACCAGCCCAGTTGAAGAAGCTTCAGAATCTCAGCCGTGCCTCACTTTCCTTCCCTCTCCTCCTTTCTCTGCCTCTTGCATCTTCCCCCTCTCCTCCCCATCACCCCTCCTCTCTCTGCTCTCCAAAACCAAACCCTTCCGCCCCCTTCCCCCTTCTCTCCCCATCACCTCCGCTACGAATTCTTCAAACTCTCGGGTGCGGCAGCGCAGTGACTTATGAGTCGACTGAAAAGTCAACTCAAAAGCATTCCCGCGCTCCCCCCCTCACCTCCGCTACAACTCCTCAAACTCGCGGGCGCGGCAGCGCTTTAACAGCCACAGGGTGACGCCGTCTCGCAGGTCTACGCCGTTTGAGTCGACTCAGAAGCCCCCCCCTCACCTCCGCCTGAAACTCTTCTGAGGCGCCTCAAAATTCAACTCAAAAGAACCCCCACCCCCCCCCCACCCCCTCCCCCTCACCTCCGCCTGAAACTCTTCAGACTCGCGGGCGCGGCAGATCTTCAAGAGCCACAGGGTGACGCCGTCTCGCGGGTCCACGCCTTTGAACATGAGGCGGTAACCCGTTGCCCACGAGCAAGTGCGGTGCCCAGTGGTTCGTCGCGGTTAAAATGTCCGCCAGGGAAAACCGCACACAGGCGCCCTGGATGGGGGCGGCTGCGGGGAGGGGGAGGGGGAGGGGGAGGGGGGAGAGGGAGGGGGAGGAGGAGGGGGAGGGGTGGGGGGTTAAGCGGCGAGCAAGGATTCTGGGTAGGAAGAGGAGGAGGGGGTGCGGCGCGGGAGGAGGCAGAGAGGAGCAAGATACACAGAGAGGAGGAAATACAGAAGCCGGAACGAGCGGAAAGAGCGGAATGAGCAGAAAGATTGCCGGCTACGAGGGCGTGTGGGAGGCGGGCGGATCGGGGCATTTGCGAAAGACTTGAGGCGTCGCGAAAAAATGATGGCTTGGCTATTGCTAGGCGTTCAGCAATGTACCGACATGAAGCGCGGTAAGGATGGCTTGCCTCTCGAAGCCTCCGCTTGCTTGGCCTTGCCGACTTGCCAAGAATCTTCCGCATCCTCGTCCACGTCAGCACACCACCACTCACGGCGAACCACGTGGCAGTAAGGGCCGCGCTGATCGTGCCACGTCACACATACGTGACCAATTTGAGTATTCACATCCTGAAAGCCAGCGTATAGTACGGGTACTTTTACGTGTACGTGTGCGTACTCCGAGCAGGAGTTGAATAATTCCTCGTTGCTTTTCACTCGCGATGCTCACATACTAAAACGATGCTGCCAATGTCGCGCGCATGAGTTGTGCACCTGCCGGCCATCCTGTTTTGAAGGACGTCGCAAGTCGCGGGCTGAGATAATGTACGACTAAACGAACTCGTACGACCTATTCGTTATGTTACACCGAGACTGATGGACGTTCAACAAATCTGAACAGGAAATGGGAGAAAGTATCGCAGCGCAGATTGCGCAAGATTGGGGGCGTGTCATATGGTTCGTTTGATTGCGGTGAAATGGGATGGTGTGCATGTACGAACGGTTTGTTTAAAAAACTTTGCGTTTCGGTAGGGTTTCAAGCAAAATTGAACTCCTCATGACACACCCTTGGTTTCTTGCTCAGGCTTGACTGCTGGGTAGTTGGGAGTTGAAAGGGAGAAAGTCGATATTCCAGGGTTATCTTGGTGTTCCTTACACCCCCGAGGGCTGAAGTTGACATGTTCTGAAGCTGCCCACGAAGGTGTGATGGCAGATGGACGGCACGCCAGAAGAGTTCATTCGACACTACTCAACCGACTGAAAATATCAACAAAACGTTCTTCAACGTAGTATATTTTGCCAGACCGCTGGAAGTGACCTCATTGTAGTTTTATGCGCATTATGGGATGATATACCTCAGCCGACGAAAACAGCCGCCCAATTTCGCGGTTGCGATAGGACAACGAACCCCCTCGGGATTGACGAGCTTCTGACGACCTGCGAGTGGCAAACTGGGGCGAGCTGGCAGTCCTCCGGGGCTCTGAACCCCTCGGGATTGTCGACTATCTGACGACCTCGGGTTTCGCTGAGAGAAACCCGAGAAGGATACCTCAGCGGACCCTGAACCACAGCTCGACACGTCGTGCGCCGAGCCGCGATTACGGCCACGTGGCCTAGTAGGGACGGCCGAGATCGAGCCTGACAATCGGGAGGTGCCACGACGGCGCCGACGTGGCCCCGCTTCGCACCACCGGGTATATTTCACTGCGCGTGAAAGTTGGCGCGCCGACGAAAAATGTCACCAACGTCCACGCGGCGAAAGACGACTGGCATGTGTCCACCACCTAGATAGCCAGAGAACGCGGGGTATTGAGATGTCGGTGTCGCCCGAAGATCCAACCGCAGCAGCACGACCCACGCGGATGGTTCTGTGCGGACCAAACAATGCATAGGCAAAGAGAGCCCCAGACTCAGGGAATGTCGGCGTCGACCAACCCTCCGGCCACGCGCCTACTCGCAGGTCGATGAGGTTTGCGCGGGAGAGCAGGACGCTACGGCATTTCGGGAGAGTGGAACTAGGTGATTGGCATATTGCACGCGGCGCACGTGAATTCCACCGTGGCAAGGCACCGGCGGGAGTGCCGTTGAGCGCAGAGCGGCGTGACAGTAGACATGCATCGATCGTGACACGTCATGCACGTGCACTGCGGCGCTTGCAAAGAGGGCTGCGTGGAGCGCGGCAGGTGCGCAGTGGCCCGCAACCATACCCCTCTTTGACCACGCACAACGCTCTCATTCTGCCGGTTCAGCTTCGTGTTTCTCTCATGCTCCTGTGCGCCATCTGGCACTTCGTTTTCTTCACAGGACCCTCGCTATCTTTGCGGGTCCAGCTTACCCGACGGCCGAGTCGACCGAGCTGCGGCACTCAGGCGTCGACCTGGAATAGACTTAGGTCGGCACTCAGGCGTCGACGTGAATCACTTCCGTCTCTGGTTTACCAATCTTTCCCTCTTCCACGGCCGGCGGTAGAGCATACGAGCGGTCATGGACGACGTCGACATGCCCGACGTTGGTACCCCAACCGACCACAGTCCGTCCTCTGCCCCCGTAGAGACGCTGAAGTTGCTTTACGATCTTGACAAACTGACTCTGATTCCCGAAGGGGATTACACCAAGGACATACCGAATCCGCCAATAGGGGAGTTTACGAAGAAGTCGACACCGACGTCAGATGGGCAGCCTGGACCTTCGTCGGTGCCGGCCGGCTCGGAAAACCAAGGTGATGACGACGACGAGGACGAGGAAGAGAGCGACGACGAAGTCGACGACCGTCCTCCGCGTAGCACGAATCCGCGCACCTTGGAAGAACGCCTTAGGCGGGAATTTGAATACATACATGACATGCTCGAACAGGACGAGAAGGAGGACAATCAGCACATGGTGGTGCCGCGCGAAAGGTGGAAGGCGACGGACTTTGTAGTGGACGACATGGTGTACTCCAGCATCGACGTGCTCATAATGGACGCCCTACGACACCTACAATGCTTGGAGAAGGATAGCACGCTCAGGCTGTACACCGCGTTCATCTACCACTACAAGAAGTGGGCGGCGAAGATGCTGAAGCAGATACGCGACAAGCTACCCCATGAGCAACGACTTCGGCACGTCGACGAGATCGGCCACTACATCCGCGACAACAAGAAAAAGGATTGGTGCAACGAGAAAGTGGTCCGCCGACAGTACATCTGGCTGCACGGCCCTAGGGTCACCGAAACCCGGCTGCGCGCCTACGTGAAGCAAATGAGCCGTGAGTGTAACCTCATTGTTGACCAGCCCGGGGAGGAGAACAATGCCACGGGAACGGGGCCTGCGAGGTCGACAACTGTGCACACGATCCTCGGGCGCATAAAGGCATGCCAGATGGCGGCGAGGGTGGAGGCGACGCTGTACCGAGAGAAGGAGCTGGGCATCATGAGGGAGATCTCGGTGGTCGGATCGGAGGTGCGGTTCAACATGCGCCACAAGAACGAGAGGGACATCAAATAAGTTGGTCGACAACCTTATTCTATATCACTGTGCACTGTGAAGTCGACGCAGTCTAACAGATTTTCCCCGCCGATTTGCATTCAGGAACTACGCCGACCGCCGACGCGGCACCATCGGCAATACCTACACCGCCGAGCAGTTCTGCCAGATCATGATGAGGGTGCTGCCGACATGGGCGGCGGCGGCGTGGAACCCGCGGGCAACCACTCCGTCGCAGACGCTGTGGCGATTCCTGCTCGTCAAGGTGCTCACGCTACTCTCCCACCACTCTCTCCTGCGCGCCGCCAGCATCCGCGAGATCACGCTCCCCGCCGTCTTCTTGTACCACCCGGCGAGCACCTCGGAGGTGAACCCGGATAGCCAGCCGGTCGTCATGGTGATCGCCGCGCGTAACTCGAAGACTTCCAAGGATGCCCGTCTTCAGCAGAGCTACGCGGCGCGACACCTGGAAGCGGAGCTGTGCGCCATCGGCGAGACCGGCCTGTGGCTGCACTTCATCCTCGACCAGATCGGTTAGTTCTCCGGCACCGACTTCCTTCCGCCGCTTGACACCACTGAGCGCGAACGCTGGTACAAGAAGCATCTCTTCTTCGCCAAAAACAACAAGGAGCAGGAGGAGCTCCCCGCCGCCACCCACCAACGTTGGACTCGGCAGATGTGGACGACCAACAAGGTGTTATGCAAAAGGAACGTGCACGCCGCCCGCGCCGGAGGTGCGCAGGAGCTAGCCATCGGAGGGACTCCGCGCGCGGAGATCGCCGAGCTGGGACACTGGGCTCTCAACAAGATGACGCGTGCGTACATCACGGCCATTCCCGTTGGGGTGGTGATGCGGAAGGCCGGCTACTCGGGACTCAAGCAAGACTACTTCTTGGGGCGCAGCAGGGTCGAGCCCTCCGACAAACTCCTGGACCTGCTCGCCGAGCACATCTTCCCCGGCGTGGATGCTATGCTGCGCGATGTATGTCACGCGACGCCGACAATGTTTTCCAGTCGTCGTGGCCTAGTTGGCTGCCCAGCTCCCTACTAACCCACGCCACTTTCCGACTTGGAGGCGGAGACGCGTGCCGTCAACGGGAGCGACGCCGACAAAGCCGCAGTGCACTTCTTGCGCACCCTCGTGATGTTCCGACGCATCGTCGCCGAGGACCTCGCGGTGAAGCTCGTCTGCACATCGTGGCACCCGTACGTCCAAGGTTCCAAGCTCTGAAGGATTGCCCTCTTCCAGCACTGGGCGAAAAGGGTCGAGTCGGTCGACACCGATACGATCAAAAAGCGCCGGGACCCGACTCAGATTCAGCCGGAGGTGAGTTGCCGACCATGTCGGCGTCGTTGAATTTTAGCCGGTGAATTCTAACCTCTTGTCGCCTTTCCGCACACTCAACATTGCAGGAAATATCCGTCCGCATGGACACCCAGTATCACAACATGTCCCTCAAGGAGGCGCTGAAGAAGGAGGTCGAGCGCTCGGCGCTCGAGAAGCTAGGCCTTCAGGAGACGATCGAGATGCAAAACGACACCATTGCGTCGCTCACCGCCGAGCTTGCTCGAGTCACCGAGGCACTCCGTGTGTCAGAAGCCCGGAGGATGCCGGCGGCGCCGCCGTCGGCGACCGATCAAGCTCCGGGCGAGGGTGGCTCCGCGGATTTGGCCAACACGGGGACCGGAGCTAAGAGAGATGATGGGAAACCCCCGCCACCCCCCAAGACGGCAGAGGAGGCCAGATACGAGCTCAACGTGGTGCAACCTTGGCGGGATTCAAAGACCGTGCGGGACGCTTGGCGCCTCTGGAACTCCGCCACCGCCAATGACACCCGTCGTCTTTGCGACAGGGTCACCGAGCCGGGGTTCATCGACTGCCACACCCTCCTCCAAGGCGCGACCCAGGGTGCACTCAAAATGAGGGTGTGCCGCATGCTGAAGGCCATGGATGCGGTGCGCTAGCTACGCGCGAGCGACGGCGATGCCGACACCGAAGCCGTGGTCGATGCACTGAACACGATCGCGGCACCGGGCATTGGGACCTTCTGCGATGCCCTCACGGTGCTCAACCCGGAGACGGCACCGACGATGTCCAAGGAGCCTGGCATGGGCGTCAAGGGGCTTGCCCCCAAGGTGGTCTCGAAGCTACGCCTCGCCTGTGCGCTGGTGGCGCTCGAGCTGAAGCCGACGACGTGGGTCAACCACCTGTTTCTAGACACCTGGGAGGTGCAGATGCCGAAGACCGTGGCCGACTTGGCGAAGCAGACCGCACCTGCGCAGCGTCCTCCGTCAAAGCGCAAGAAGTCGTCATGAAGATCCTTGGTGCATATGTGTTAGCGTAGGTTGTTGATGCCCTAATTTAGCAAACCGTAGTGATCCCATCGTACTTGTTGATGGTGATGCAACACGAACATACATGATCCAACACATACATCCGAACCAGATATGTCGGACTCCGACATAGTCGCCACCATGTGTGTGCAATTCATTGTGCCTTTTTCATGTCGACATCGCTGACTGCATGCAAACGGCGCCGATCACGCTATAACCGAGCAATCATACCACCTAGCGCTCCCTCCGCGCGCCGACTACGCATCCGTGCTGTCCATGCCCGCTCGATATGCGCGTCAAACGGCACATCGATGCCGACCTCCTAGAGTTTCGGCCACCTGGGCGGCGCGGCACATTCCCCAAAGCGCCGACCATTGACCATCTCGGTCTAGCCGACGAGGCTCATCGCCGAGTACATACATGCATACAGCCAGACGCACTATGTCGACACCGTACGACGCCGAGTTGTTATACGCCGACGGGGTTCATCGAACCGGGCCCGCATTTGAGTAACATGGTAGAGATCAGGTCGACCTTGCCGAGGAGTGTTCTAGTAACATGCACTACCAAAAAGTTACAGCCAACAAAAGAAATACGCAACCACAAACGAAAAGAAATCCCAACGAAAAATATACAATCAAACGAAAAAAAATCCCAACGAAACCTACTCAATAGACGCCGCCCATACCAGACCATCCTAGCAAGAAGACCTACTTGCGCTCCCTCCTGCCGCCCATGGCAGATTGTTATGCCGACTACGCCGCCGTGCTGTCCTTGCCCGCTCTGCCCTTCTTCCCCTTCTTCCCCGAGCTGTCCTTGCCCTGCTTGCCCCTCTGCCTCTTCCTCCCCCTGTGTTCGATATCGTACTCCATCTGCGCGTCAAGCGGCACCGCGATGCCGATCTTCCTGAGTTTTGGCCCATCCACGGGGCACATTCCCCAGAACGCGAGGGTTTCCACCGTCGCTCGTGCGATCAGTTTGGCCTCGGCATCAACATCCAACCCCGGATAGGCTTTGGCCAGAGCGGTGGACTCCAGCGCCGGTGCGACGTTGTGCGCAACCTCCCCGAGGGGTTGCTGCCTGCTGATCGCGGCCTCCAGCACCGCCGTCATGACCTTCTTGAACTCGGCGGCGGTAGTCTCGCTCGCGCCGACCAACATCGCCGCCGCCTTCCCTTCGCGCACGGCATCAGCCACCTGGGCGCCGTCGCCCTCGACTAAGCACCACAGGGCGCAAGCGGAGGCTGACAGCGCCTGTGCGACCTTCGCCGTCGTCTGATCCGTGTCGCCCTCCATTCTCGCCGCGGATGCAGCGACCTTCCCATACGCCGCGCACAAGGACACGCGATCAATCATGGCCGACATCATTGCATCCGACTTCTGCTTCCCTTCCTTCGTGTCGGCATCGACGGGGAACCAGATCGCGGGCAAAGGCGCGTCGTGGTGCGCATCGCCTGATGTCTTGTACACTCGATACTTCCCGAGGATATCATCGAACCTGTCACGCAATCACACGAAACTGGCCGTTAGGAACGCCGACGTCGACATCATCGCTTGGCCGACGTTTATCCGACTTACCGTGTCTTTGGGAGGAACGCGCCCCGTGCCCATATCACCGTCCACATCCCAGTCGGCAAGAACCGGACTTCCTTCCACACCGCCCTCCACTGCTTCATCACTGTTTCCTCCAAGCCGGTGAGCTCGGCCATGAGGATCTTGCTGACGTAACCGTCGTACAGGAGGTACACAATCGAGTGAAGGTACGCCAGCTCCATCTTCTCGCGGGACTTGCTGATGTATCTGCTCTCGTTCCCGACCACCTTAATCTCGCCCACCCACCCTTGCTTGTCGCCCGTGGTGTCGTGGCGGATGCCATGACCCTTCCGTTCTTTCACCTTCACCTTCTCCTCCTCCGTCGCCGCCTCCTCCTCCTCCACCTCCGCCTCCTCCACCTTCTCCTCCTCCTCCTTCTCCTCCTTCTCCTCCTCCTCCTCCTCCTTCTCCTTCTCCTTCTCCTCCTCCTCCACCTCCGCCTCCTCCACCTTCTCCTCCTCCTTCTCCTTCTCCTCCTTCTCCTCCTCCTTCTCCTTCTCCTTCTCCTTCTCCTCCTTCTCCTCCTCCTTCTCCTCCATCTCCTCCTCCTTCTCCTTCCCTTTCTCCGACGCCTTCTCCTTCACCATCGCCGTCGCCATCCCCTGTCCTTTCTGCACCGACTTCACCATCGCCGACGTCGCCCGTGTTTTCTTCTTCGAGCTCGGCCTCGCTTTCCCTGCGTCGACCGTCCCCTTCCGTTTTGACTTTCCCGCGCCGACCGCAGCAGTGGTCGTCTTTGGCTCCGCTGTACAACCGGTGGGACTCGCCGAGTCCAAGATGGCCAGCACTGGGGGCTGCTTGGGGCGGTTTACCGCTTCCAACAGGTCCTGGATGGCAGCGATATCGGCGTCGTTGTGGTCCTTCGCCGCCTGTGCAGGGTCAACTGATCCGCCGCCCGTGGCTAGCGTTGCACTCACGCCCTTCTCCGCCACCGCCTCGACAGTAGCCGCACCAAGTGTGTGTGCAGCTACGGTCACCGACGTCGGCGTCGCGCATGAGCTGGATACCGGCTGAGCCTGTGCTGGCACTGCCGCAGTACGTGCGCCTAACCGGGCGCGAAGCAACGCGGACTTTGGGTCCACAGGAGGACGGGCGGCGATGATAGGCGCGGTAGGTGGGGCACTGGACGTTGTGGCGGCGACCTGGGGAGTGACCGAGCGTCGTGCTGTTGTGGCCGGCGCGGTACCGACCACGGGAGGTTGCTGCACGTCCTGTCGATGGGTCTCCATGCGGCTGAGCATCTCCCTGAGCGCGTTCGCCTTTGGGGCGGACGCACCAGCGCGGTTAGCCGCAGCATTCACCGCGTCAACCTTGGCGGCAGACGTGCCTGCTGGTGCTGGAGTAGCCGCAAGGGACGGCCCATCATTGTTGGCGGCTGACGGGGCGACCGGCGCGCTGCTAGCCGCAGGGGGTTTGCTGGGGATCGACGTGATCCCCGCCACTCCGCCGGACGGTCCCTTGACGGTTTTGGCGCCGCCATCTATCGCCGTTGGTGCGGTCGCTAGACTGGCCGGCTTCTCGGCGACCAATGGCGGGGCTGTTGGTCCAGCCTCTTGAGCGGCAACCTGGTCGGCAGGGCCCCCCTCCGCACTCCTGATTCCATCGCCCTTGCTGTGCGTCCTTATCACCTTGGCCCCGTTCTTCTTGAGCTGGTCGACCACGCTCGTACCTCCGCTCCCATCGGCTCCCTTGCTCCGCGAGCCGCCTGGACCCACCTGGCCGACGCCGCGGCTCCCATCGGCTCCCTTGCTCCGCTTCGAGCTCAACGCATCATCTCCGCCGCCCGCCCTTTTCGCACCCTTCTTGTCGGCCTCGTTGTCCGACGGCAACGACCCATGCCGACCAGGCGCCAGATGGCCGATCACCTGGGTCATGAGGTTTAACCCGGACGCAACAAATGACTGCTGGGTGGCCTCAGTCACCGCCTTCAACACATCCGCCTTGAAAGACTTCATGAGCTCGTCCGGGAAGGCTGGCGGTGGGGCGGGCGGCGTGGGCGGCGGGACGGCGACGCGTTGAGTTACCGCGGCGGCGATGTTGGTCTGCGCGGCGACTAGGTGCTTCGATATGTATTCCTCCAATCCCTTCCTCGCTTCGTCCACGTGGTTGCCCATGGCGACGACCGCGTTCGCACGTTGCACCGCCATAAACCCCTCCGGATTCTCTAGATCGTCCAACCAGCACTCCGCCCTCTCGGCGTACGCCTTCATCGCATCCCATGCTTCACCCATGTTGGCGGTGATGTTCTCCGTGACGGTCGTCGCCATGGTCAAGGACGCGTCCATCAGCCGACTCGACGCGTCCTGGTCGGAGGCGGCGACCTGGTCGGCCAACGACCTGAGCTTGTCCACGAGGCGGCCAATCCCCATCGCAAACTTGTCCACCCGACCCCTCTCCACTCCGAGCGCCGTCTCGAGACGAGCATTTTCAGCCCTCAGCCACATGTTCTCCTGTCGCAGCTGCGCGACGACGGCCGGCGTTGCCTGCCGACCAGCTGCTGAGGAACCCGGTTGACGGCCCGCCTCTACCGCTCCACCCCGGCGTTCCACCCCTGCGTTCCCTGTGGTGGTCTCCACGCCCGTCGGCGTCGGGGCCGCGGCGTTATCCTCCTCCTTCGCGTCGCCAACCACATTGCCGACCACGTGCGTCTCCTCCACGCCGACATTCTCCACATCGGCACCCTCCCCTCGCACGTACACAACATCCGCCGACATCCCACCCGTTCCCTCCACCACCGCCGCCGCTCCCTCCACGGCCACCGCCGCCGCTCCCTCAACATCCTCCATCTCGAATTCGACCCAGGGGAACTCTACCTCCTCCTCCCCCTCTTGCTGCTTCTCCCCCTCCGCCACCTGCTCCACCGACCCGAAACCCTGCTCCACGGCCTCCACCGCCGCCGCCTCCTTGTCCTCCTCCTCCTCCTCCTCCTCCTCCTCCTCCTCCTCCTCCTCCTCCTCCTCCTCCTCCTCCTCATCATCCTCCTCCTCCTCCTCCTCCTCCTCCTCCTCCTCCTCCTCCTCCTCCTCCTCCTCCTGCCCATGCCCCTGCTCACGCTCCTCACGATCCTCCTCGTTATCATCCTGATCATCGGTGTCATCCTCCTCCTCCTCCTTTTCCTGATCCGCGGTCCTCGCCACAGCCCTTTCTGCCTCCTCATCTGCCTTGTTGACGCCGTCTCCGGCCTCTCCGCTGGTGTCGGCGACACCGACTGCTTGGGATGCCGAAGGGGGCTCCGCGGCGTCGTCGTCACAGGCATCGGCAGCAACTCCGACATGGCCTGACCGTTTGCGTGCGACGTGTTCCTTGATCTATGTGATCATCCGAATCCGCACCTCCTTCAACCCCGAAACGAGGACCTTGTCCATGCTGGTCGCACTGCGACGATCGTCGCCGGTCAGGCGATCCATCCTCTTCACCACCCAGCACAGCGCGCTCATTGATAGGAGGCCAGAGCCTGCGTCGCTGTCCCGGACGGTGTCGCGCACTTTCTGCAAACAATAGAGCAGAGAGCAAGGATGAGCACCGACGGCGGCAATGGCATCGCGCTAGGACGGTAAAACGATCGGTACTCACATCTCGAACGGGTTCATCGCAGTCGGCGAGCCTGTCCGCCACCTCTTCAGCAGAAGGCTTCGGCCACTCCCACTGCCGGCCATCGCGGCCGAGCTCGGCCAGCACCGCCGCCCGGAAAAACCTGAAGCAACATGGCACATATCGTCAGTAGACTTGCTTAACGCCTAGTGGCGAAATTGCATGCGTCGTCGATTACACTATCGAGCTCACTTCAGCACGTGGATCGCCTCGTCGCGGTGCCACTGCTTCACGGTTTGCGGGTCAAAGTGCCGGACAGAGGTCCTGATCGTCTCCCCCCCGGCCCGCAACAAGTCGCCGGGGTACAGGATGACCACGACGCTGCAATGTGCCCCTGGAAGCGGTGCGATGCTGCACAGGCTAGGCACCACGACGTCGATCAGAACGGAGCAGCGACATAGGCATCATGGCACACCATCATGACTTAGGCTCACCTTGAATGCAGAGGGATAACAGCTACGTCGGCGTCGAACACCGTAGCAAAGCATGAGTGGTCTTCCTTGCCCATCGCCGCCCGAAGCCGGCCGAGTCCTATCGACCACAATCGCATGTTGGCCGGCGCCGCACAAATCCATGCGTACCTGCTCGCATGCATGGGTAGTAGATGTGTTTGAGGACGTGCACGACACGACGGATGGACACGTGGGTTCTGGAACCGACAACTGACGGGGATGGCGATAGTAGAGCGGTGTACCACCGTCGCTACGTTGTAATCAATGGCGCCTACCGATGCGGCCACCGACCTACTGTAGTGATCGGAGTCCGGTGCCGACCTACGGCTGTGTGCGTCACCGAGTAGTGATCTAAACCCGAACACCTCAGCCGAACAAGGTCGTCAGGATGAATTTGCCAGTGTCGTCGAGGGGGGTCGTCAAAGCCTGGGCTGACGGGGCGGAGCACTGACGCGCGTGCGGGCCCGCCAGCCTGGCCCAGGGCTGGGCCGAGCGCACGACCGCCGCCCCGCAGCCCCGCTCCGAATGTGAACAGCGGCCCACGTTACCGGGTGGGGTCAGCGAACTGGCGACAGCTCGCGCGTGGGAAAATTACCCTCGCGCAAAGGCAGCCCACACGTGCCACCTGCCCGCGAGGTCCTAGTAACCCATCGCGGCCTGCCCGGGCGGGCAGGTGAGAGCCAGGCGAAAATTCGGGGCCCCCTCGGGACACTCGACAACTTCGCGACCCGTTGCGGTGACGCCACGTGTTCGCCCGCCTACTTCGCATCGGGCAACATGCAGAATTTGGTACATTGCGAATTCAATTTGGGACATAGCGAATTCGATTTCGATCGCTTCGCGGCGCACATTTTTCGCTTCGGGACGTGACATCGACTTGCTGGCTCGGCGGCGAATGAGAACTTGTGCCACTTGTGCACGAGCCCGCCAAACCCCGCCGAGGCAGGCACCACGAGGGCCGGGCGATGCCTCGACCGTTCCTGTGGGGCACCGACCCCCTTTTCTTGGTGGAAGGGGGCATCGCTCCTCATTTTCGGCATCTCGTTTCCCTTTCCACCTTTTCCCCAGCTCTGCGCCTTCTCCCACATTCACGTCCCTTAGCCTGTAGCCGCTTCCCTTCCCCGCCATGTCGGCCGCCCCGAAAGTCGGCGAAGTGACGCCGACTTCGCAGGACTTCCCTCTGTATCTCGACCTGGGTAGTGGACTCACTGCCAAGCTCGACGAACACGACTACGCCGTCCTCGTAGACCATAGGCTAGAGTTCAACGCCCGTTGCTTGGGATTCGGCCTCAAGTGAGTGTCCGTATTGGGATGTCGACGTCGACCGCTGGATACCTTGCAGGTCGACGTTGTTAGGGTTGTCCCACGTTTTGGTCGGCGCTACTAGTTTAGGGATGATATACCTCAGCCGACGAAAACAGCCGCCCAATTTCGCAGTTGCGATAGGACAACGAACCCCCTCGGGTTTGACGAGCTTCTGACGACCTGCGAGTGGCAAACTGGGGCGAGCTGGCAGTCCTCCGGGGCTCTGAACCCCTCGGGATTGTCGACTATCTGACGACCTCGGGTTTCGCTGAGAGAAACCCGAGAAGGATACCTCAGCGGACCCTGAACCACAGCTCGACACGTCGTGCGCCGAGCCGCGATTACGGCCACGTGGCCTAGTAGGGACGGCCAGGATGCCCCAGACTCGGGGAATGTCGGCGTCGACCAACCCTCCGGCCACGCGCCTACTCGCAGGTCGATGAGGTTTGCGCGGGAGAGCAGGACGCTACGGCATTTCGGGAGAGTGGAACTAGGTGATTGGCCTATTGCACGCGGCGCACGTGAATTCCACCGTGGCAAGGCACCGGCGGGAGTGCCGTTGAGCGCAGAGCGGCGTGACAGTAGACATGCATCGATCGTGACACGTCATGCACGTGCACTGCGGCGCTTGCAAAGAGGGCTGCGTGGAGCGCGGCAGGTGCGCAGTGGCCCGCAACCATACCCCTCTTTGACCACGCACAACGCTCTCATTCTGCCGGTTCAGCTTCGTGTTTCTCTCATGCTCCTGTGCGCCATCTGGCACTTCGTTTTCTTCACAGGACCCTCGCTATCTTTGCGGGTCTAGCTTACTCGACGGCCGAGTCGACCGAGCTGCGGCACTCAGGCGTCGACCTGGAATAGACTTAGGTCGGCACTCAGGCGTCGACGTGAATCACTTCCGTCTCTGGTTTACCAATCTTTCCCTCTTCCACGGCCGGCGGTAGAGCATACGAGCGGTCATGGACGACGTCGACATGCCCGACGTTGGTACCCCAACCGACCACAGTCCGTCATCTGCCCCCGTAGAGACGCTGAAGTTGCTTTACGATCTTGACAAACTGACTCAGATTCCCGAAGGGGAGTACACCAAGGACATACCGAATCCGCCAATAGGGGAGTTTACGAAGAAGTCGACACCGACGTCAGATGGGCAGCCTGGACCTTCGTCGGTGCCGGCCGGCTCGGAAAACCAAGGTGATGACGACGACGAGGACGAGGAAGAGAGCGACGACGAAGTCGACGACCGTCCTCCGCGAAGCACGAATCCGCGCACCTTGGAAGAACGCCTTAGGCGGGAATTTGAATACATACATGACATGCTCGAACAGGACGAGAAGGAGGACAATCAGCACATGGTGGTGCCGCGCGAAAGGTGGAAGGCGACGGACTTTGTAGTGGACGACATGGTGTACTCCAGCATCGACGTGCTCATAATGGACGCCCTACGACACCTACAATGCTTGGAGAAGGATAGCACGCTCAGGCTGTACACCGCGTTCATCTACCACTACAAGAAGTGGGCGGCGAAGATGCTGAAGCAGATACGCGACAAGCTACCCCATGAGCAACGACTTCGGCACGTCGACGAGATCGGCCACTACATCCGCGACAACAAGAAAAAGGATTGGTGCAACGAGAAAGTGGTCCGCTGACAGTACATCTGGCTGCACGGCCCTAGGGTCACCGAAACCCGGCTGCGCGCCTACGTGAAGCAAATGAGCCGTGAGTGTAACCTCATTGTTGACCAGCCCGGGGAGGAGAACAATGCCACGCGAACGGGGCCTGTGAGGTCGACAACTGTGCACACGATCCTCGGGCGCATAAAGGCATGCCAGATGGCGGCGAGGGTGGAGGCGACGCTGTACCGAGAGAAGGAGCTGGGCATCATGAGGGAGATCTCGGTGGTCAGATCGGAGGTGCGGTTCAACGTCCGCCACAAGAACGAGAGGGACATCAAGTAAGTTGGTCGACAACCTTATTCTATATCACTGTGCACTGTGAAGTCGACGCAGTCTAACAGATTTTCCCCGCCGATTTGCGTTCAGGAACTGCGCCGACCGTCGACGCAGCACCATCGGCGATACCTACACCGCCGAGCAGTTCCGCCAGATCATGATGAGGGTGCTGCCGACATGGGCGGCGGCGGCGTGGAATCCGCGGGCAACCACTCCGTCGCAGACGCTGTGGCGATTCCTGCTCGTGAAGGTGCTCACGCTACTCTGACGACCCAGGCTTTGACGACCCCCCTCGACGACACTGGCAAATTCATCGTGACGACCTTGTTCGGCTGAGGTGTTCTGCTTTTCTTTTGAAATTCGCTTGGGTTCATCGCCTCACCCAACCCACATGCTTCCGTGCTTCGGATTTCTGTTCGTCCATGCGCCAACCCATCACCTCACCATTCACTAGGGTTAGAAGCTGGGATACTATTGCCGCCCTCACCCAAGAGTCAGTGATTAGTCGCCGACGAGACTGTAAGCCCAATGTAACAGGCTTTTACGTGACATCATCGTATTAATTTCGCGTGGAGCCTAGTGAACCAGACGCTGCGTAGATTTGTTCGCCATGGCTCCTCCACCACCCGGGAAAGATTTGGCCGATTACACCGCGAATGCGGGGAATGGCGGTCGCGCGGCCCAGCGGCGAGTGCAGCGGAACGTAAACGGGCCCATGGCTGTGATGGCACCAGACGTTTACACGGTATCATACATAAGAACGCTATTTCGGACTCGATACAGCGAAGTTCGATACCATTTGCGGTTGCCAAGCGGTTATTTGCAGTACGATTACTATATCGCCTGTTCCTGGAAGCGTCTCCCATTTTCTTCTCCTTCCCTTCCATACTCCCTCCGTCTCTTCCGTGTCTTTCGCCCTTCGCTGTGAACCGCGTTCACCATGCAGGCTGCCTTCATCCTCATTGTAGTCCTCCTCAACCTGTACAGAGTAAGCCTCTCTTCGCTTTTCAATCTCTCATCGAGCCAGGATCGACTTCTCTTCGCTTGCGGCCATCTCTGCACCTTTAAACGTTCCCGTGTTTTCCCAGTTTCCGAAACAAAGTGTTGCATAATCTCCCATTGCTGTCAATCTTCGCGTGTTTTCAGGCCTCTCTGTGTTGCTGCCGTTGCTGAACGCACCGTAATATACGGGTACCTTGACCTGCCAAGTATATGGTACGTGCCCGAGTGTTGTGAAGCATCCATTTAACTAGGGTATTGTTCATCCACAATCTGGGTGTGCATCATCTAATATTACGTCACATGTAGGTTCTCAGGCGGAGACCATCTTGGCTTAGTGCGATTTAATAACCCTGATTTGTTGTTTGTTTCTTTTGATGGGAGCAGGTTACTATGTGCACAAGCCAATTTGCGCACATCTTGGTGTGTCTAGAACTAGAATGACTTTTGTTTCCCTACTGCTATGTGGCAAGATATCATTATTAACTTTCTGTATAAATGAACAAAATGCCTGGCTGTGGTAGCCTCAAGAAAAGAGGAGTCTATACACTGCACCAGAAGAAAGAGATATTGGTCATACTTCCACAGAAGTGAAAGTGACGATCGTGGATAAGCTCCACTCTGCATATGGCTGGCATCTGGCCTTCCACCGACTGGCATGCCACATGAGGACGCGTTACCTCTTTCAAAACTGGCTGGGTCGGTGTGCACATCGGTGTGCCCACTTGCATTTTTGCGATCGCGGGGCTCCACCGAGCCAGCGCTGGGAGGGACGGAAATTTGTGGTGCAAAATAGCCCGATCGCCTCAATTGCATTATCGATCGTCGGCTTTGGCACATCGATCTCGTGAGCCCTAGGTGACACCTTCGTGGTGACCAATTTTCTGTACATTTTCGACGGTTCAAGAAACGTGGAAACATACTTCGTCAACTCGCATAAGCCTTGTACGCGTGACACACCGATCGTGTGGACGATCGATCGCCCTCCTGAAGAAAGAGGTGACGCGTCCTGAGACAAATTCCACTCTGCACTGCCATTCTTGCGCCATTCCTACATTTCTGCATTTCGCTTCACAGCTCTCTTGACTCAGCCATGGCCCGCACTCACCGGATCGCCTCATCTCAGCTGTCCGCATTTCTCCTTTTCCTACTCGCGGCCGCGTTTTCTTCCTGCTCCGATGCGCGCATTCGCATCCCGCGCTTCCCGGGTTCGTTCCACAGGCAGCAGAAAATCCGGGCGAGCGCGCACATAGATAAGAGCGGAAACATCTATAACGAAGTTGCCGCGTCCGGAGCTTCGGCTCGCGGCAGTTACGCCTGGAACGCCTCTTACTTCACCCAGAATCTCGACCATTTCTCGTTCACCCAGTCGAGCTACGCCACGTGGCAGCAGAAGTACATCTGGTGGGACGGCGCGTGGGGCGGCGCGGAGAGCGGCGCGCCGATCTTCGTGTACTGCGGCAACGAGGGGCCGATCCAATGGTTCATGGACAACGCAGGGTGGATCCGCGAGATCGCTGTCGAATTCGGCGCGCTTGTCGTGGGACCCGAGGTGAGCCGTGCGTGTTCGCGCAACGCTCGACACGCCATAATTCTTTTATCGATTCAACTTATAAGTCGACCCGAAAGCCGCCTCGTGAAAGTCGCTCTAGTCAATAGTACAGTCACTCAGTGCTACACGACGCGTTTTCATTTCTGTTGAAGGCGACAATGCTAGTCTGCTATTTCGAGTCCGCCATTACTCGATCTTGTTCCACCAGCGTTCAGATCTGACCTCGTTTCGCCTGAATTCCCTTGTCCACCCCCACGTTACAATAACACCCAGCATCGGCGGTACTTCGGCGAGTCAATGCCATTCGGCTCGGGAAAGAAATCCTTCAGCAACGCGTTGACTAGGGCGTTTCTCACCACACCACGGAGCAGGCCATGGCGACATGGGGACTCTTGTTGAGGCGCCTGAAAATAACACTTCTTCCCCCCCTCCTCTCCCACCTCACTTCCCCCTTCCCCCCCCCCCCCCCCCCCCCCCCCCACTCCCTCTCCCCTCCCTCCGTCCCCTTTCCACACGCCCCCCCGCGTCACAATCACATCCAGCGCCGGTAGTACGGCGAGTCGATGCCATTTGGCACGGAAAAAGAATCCTTCAGCAACGCGTCGACTCGCGCGTTCCTCACCACAGAGCAGGCCATGGCGGACATGGGGAATGTTGTTGAGGCACCTGAAAAAACACCCTTTCTTTCCCCCTCCCTCTCCCCCCGCACCTCCCCTCGACCCCCCCACCCTTCCCACCCTTCCCCCGTTATTATCATATCACATCCAGCACCGGTACTATGGTGAGTCGATGCCATTCGGCTCGGAAAAAGAATCCTTCAGCAACGCGTCGACTCGTGCGTTCCTCACCACAGAGCAGGCCATGGCGGACATGGCAGTGCTTCTCACGGCGCTTAAGGACAACTTATCCGCGCATGACTCGCCCATCATCCTCTTCGGAGGCTCCTACGGTGGCAGTAAGTACTGCTGCTCTTTCTTGTTCCCTCTGTAAGTCCTCCCTGAGCTGTGCCTGGAGTCCTCACAATGGAACAGGTCATGGCGGACATGGCAGTGTTCCTCACAGCCCTCAAGGCGAACCTGTCCGCGCATGACTCTCCCATCATCTTGTTTGGAGGCTCCTACGGTGGCAGTAAGTGGCTTCATTCCTTCGGTTCCTCCTCGTCTTCCTCACCACAGAACAGGCCATGGCGGACATGGCGGTGTTCCTCACAGCGCTCAAGGGGAACCTGTCCGCGCATGACTCTCCGGTCATTCTATTTGGAGGCTCATACGGCGGCAGTAAGTGATGTTTCTCTCTTTCAGTAGAGTTCACTGCACTAGCCCATCCCATGGTTCCTCTGCGCTTCACAGCGGAGCAGCCCATGGCTGGCAGCACAGGGCGTTGTTTCTCACAGCGCTCAAGGGAAACCTATCTGCACATGATTCTCTAGTCATCCTCTTTGGAGGCTCATATGGCGGCAGTAAGTGGCTTCTTGCCTTCCCTCAGAACGAGCCTCACATCAGAGCAGGCTGTGGTGTGGTCAACAGCAGCCCGTGGCGCACGTGGCATTGCTTCCCACGGCGCTCAAAGGGAATCTATCCGCGCATGATTCGCCCATCATCCTGTTCGGAGGCTCATATGGCAGCAGTAAGTGGCTATGGTCAGCAGCACCATGGCGGACATGGCGTTGTTTCTCACAGCGCTCAAGGCGAACCTATCCGCGCATGACTCGCCCATCATCCTGTTTGGAGGCTCTTACGGCGACATTAAGTTGCTGCTTCTTCTCTCCTGCCCAAAAAGAGCCTCGAAAGAGAACAGCCTGTGGTGAGCAGCCTATGGCGCACATGGCAGTGCTGCTCACGGGGAATTCACTTCGCACATGAGTCGCCCATCATCCTGTTTTGAGACGTCTCGAAACGCTTTTTTCTACACGAGCCCATGGCGCACATGGCAGTGCTGCTCACAGTGCTCAAGGGAATTCTGCACATGACTCATGTACGGAGAGAATTCCGTAGAGCTCATGACTCGCCCATCATCCTGTTTGGAGGATCCTATGGTGGCAGTAAGCGGCTTCTTTTTTTCACAACAGAACAACGTGTCCACCATGTTCCTCCTTGTCCTCTTCACAACAGAGCAAGCCATGGTGAACATGGAGTTGTTCTTTCACAGCCCTCAAGGGGAACCTGAGTGCACATGACTCTCCGGGCATCCTCTTCGGAGGCTCCTATGGCGGCAGTAAGTGGTTTCTTTCCTTCAGTTCCTCTTCACAACAGAGCAAGCCATGGTGAACATGGCGTTGTTTCTTCACAGCCCTCAAGGGGAACTTATCCGCACACGACTCGCCATCATCTTTTTTGGAGGTTCCTGTGGCGGCAGTATGTGGCTGCATACGGAGCTACTTGGGGGGCGAAAGCTAGGAAGGAGCACGAGGAAGGAGCTCCGTGTGCACACGAGGAAGGAGCTCCGTGTGCACAGCACAACTCGTGTGACCGCCGCCCAATTCGCCGCCAAATCCGCCGCCACCACCTGCATAATGAACTCCCCCCCATAAAGTGTTCATTTCTTGGTCTGTAGAATTTGATTGCAGGATTGGGGTACTACTTCTGCTTTTGAGTCGACTCGATTGCAGGATTGGGGTACTACTGCTTTTGAGTCGACTCGATTGCAGGATTGGGGTACTACTTCTTATCTCGAAGCACTGCCCTTGAGTACTTCTTTTTCTTCTGTCTTGTCTTTGGTGTTTTTTTCTTATTTTGTGTTTTCCAGTGCTGGCAGTGTGATTCCGCCTCAAGTACCCACACATAGCAGCAGGCGCCATTGCAGCATCTTGTGATGAGCCGAGCCTACGGAGTCACCTCAAAAGTCAACACAAGTCCCAATGTTTTTCCTCCCCTTCCCTCGTCTTGCTTCCCCCAGTGCTCGCAGCATGGTTCCGCCTAAAGTACCCGCACATAGCAGCAGGCGCCATCGCAGCATCGGCACCCATCTTGCAATACGAGGACATTGTCCCCAGCGAGACCTTCTACCGCATAGTGTCACACGACTTCAAGGTGGGTGGGTGTGTGACTATAACAGGTATGGCAGGTTGCTGTGGGCATGGCAGCCTGTTACAGCATCTGCCCCCATCCTGCAGTACAAGGCCATCGTGTATACTTTCTACCGCATAGTGGCACACGGCTTCAAGGTGGGTGTTGGTGGGAGGGGGAGGGGGTATATCACCTTGGTTCATTGACTGACACCCATCCTGCAATACGAGGACGTCGTGCCCAGCGATACTTTCTACTGCATAGTGGCACACGACTTCAAGGTGGGTGGGTGCTGGTCGAGTCTGTGTGTGTGACTCCAATGGGGACAGGACAGCTCATCGCAGCATCAGCGCCCCATCCTCCTGCAGTACGAGGACATCGTGCCTAGCGATACCTTTTACCACATAGTGTCACACGACTGCAAGGTTAGTAAAGGGACGGAGGGAGTGGGAGGAAAGGAGTGCGAGTATAGGGGCATGACATCATGTTGCAGCATCAGCACCTATCCTGCAATATGAAAACATTGTGCCTAGCGATACCCTTTACCGCATAGTGGCACATGACTTTGAGGTGGATGGGTGTTGCTAGTAGCTCGGTTCATGCCAAGAAATGCTCTCATATGCTATCCACCCATCGCACGTCATGCCATGCAGACAAAGAGCAAGAGCCGCTTCGAGTCCATCGAGATCAGCTTTTTGCCCCTTTTCTCTGTGAATCTGATGCAATATATTGCCGTCATGTTCCATGCCATGCCACGCCATGCCACGCCATGGCACGCCACGCCACGCCATGCGATGCTATGCCATGCTATGCCATGCCATGCCATGCCATCCTGTCCCATGTCATGCCATCCTGTCCCATGCCATGCCATGCCATGCCACCCCATTCCATGCAGATAGAGAGTGAGAATTGTTTCAATGCCATCAATAGCAGCTGGGCGGAAATCAGGGAGGAGGCAGCAGCTGAGGGAGGGCTTGTACGCCTCTCAGAGCAGTTCCGCCTGTGCAGGTGAGGCGTGTTAGTGGGGCGTGCAAGGATGCAGGTGAGGAGCAAGAGAAACACCCTAGACGGGTAGTACCCAAGTGGTTGCCATAGCTGGGCGGCCATCAGGGAGGAGGCAGCAGCTGAGGGAGGGCTCACCCGCCTCTCAGAGCAGTTCCGCCTGTGCAGGTGAGGCATATGAGTGAGGCCTGCCCCCAGTGCACGCTGACTCCTCCTCCCATCTCCCATCCTCCTCTTCTCCTCCTCGTTCCCTCCCCCCTCCCAGTCCCTTGACTGACGCAGATGAATTGGTTGATTGCGTGAGGACCACCACTCTTCATCTTCCCTCCCAGCCCCTTGACCCAAGGAGAGAGACTGATTCAGTGGCTGGAAATTGATGGCATGTACATGCCCATGGTGGACTATCCAGTGCCCTCGATCATCTTCTCCTCTCCCCCTCTCTGCTCCCTATCCTCCTCCCAGTCACTTGACTGACGCTGATGAACCGATTCAGTGGTTGGTAACAGCTTACATCTACATGGCCACGCTGGACTACCTCGTGCCCTCTTATCAGAGTCCTTTTGTTCCCCTCCCCGCTGACGAGCTGATTCAGTGGTTAGAGACGGCTTACATATTGTAATCGTCACCATTGCCATGTATGTTGTAAGTCTGTGTTCTAACCACTGAATCGTCCTCCCTGCAGCCGCGAAACGGTGATCATGCTACTGCTGGAACCATAAGTCATTTGTCAGCTCCTACCCTACTTACGGATCCTGCCTACAGCCTCCTCATCGCGGCCGTTTGCAAACGTTGACATACTCTGGCTCGCCGTCCGGTCTCCATACTCCTTGTGAAGGAAGGCATTGTCGTTTCGCTCCAAGATTTCACCGATGCCATTAGGTGCTTCCCCAACCTCTCACATCTGCACATCAGCGATGACAGCGTAGAGACAATGAACGACGCCTTCATCGATGTCCTAGCGTCGTCATGCCCTAAACTGGTTTCCTTACACGTGGAAGATTCGATCGTGCTGCACGAGTGGGGCAAGCGGGTGAACGAGCATCCGGTGACCGAAGCTGGATTGGACCCCTTCATTCGTCGCTGCACTCAACTACAGCACCTCTCGCTCTACTGCTTGCATCCATACGGCAAGCTGCCGGATGCCCTCTCGCTGCTCGCCAACCTGCACACTCTCGTTCTTACGGAAGCCTCGCCTCTTGAGGCCCCTGGATTTTCGAGGCTGTTTGCTCTCACCTCCCTCTCCATCGACACTACCGACCCCGAAAATTTGAATCTCTCGAGCCTCGCGCATCTCCTAGCCTTAGTGACCCTCTACATCCACCAGGCGGAATGTCTGAAATTGGAAGGTGCCGATTCCCACCCCCTCTCGTTAGCTCGGGTGCCGTCACTGAAAGCGTTAGGTTTCGAATTGCGCAGTCTGCCGTTCGAGCAAGTGTTTCCGCCAAGAGACTCGTTCCGTAACCTCGAGACGATTGTTTTCAAAGAAAGCGAAGGCCTCGAGCGTCTTACTGACCACATCGGAGAGCGACTGCCGCTCCTTTGCGATCTGATCTTGTGTAGTTACGAAAAACTCTCCGAGCTGCCGGAACAGTTCACTTCCCTTAGCTGCCCAGAGCATTTGACGATTTCCTCGTGCGCCATTGTCAAGCTGCCCGCTCTAAAGGATCTGAGGCTACTCCGCCTCCAAATTTGAGTCTCCCAGATTCGTTCTACCAGCTGACAGCTTTGGAAACCCTCCTTCCAGTTGGACAGAAGACGGTCTCGAAAATCCTTGGGCCTCAAGAGGCGAGGCTTTCGTAAGAACGAGAGTGTGCAGGTTGGTGAGAAGCGAGAGGGCATTCGGCAGCTTGCCGTATGGATGCAAGCAGTAGAGCGAGAGGTGCTATAGTTGAGTGCAGCGACGGATGAAGGGTTCCAATCCGGCTTCGATCACCGGATGCTCGTCTACCCGCCTGCCCCAATCATGCGGCGCGATCGAATCTTCCACGTGCAGGGAAACCAGTTTAGGGATGACGACACGAGGACATCGATGAAGGCGTCGTTCATTGTCTCTACGCTGTTGTCGCTGAGGTGCAGATGTGAGAGGTTGGGGAAGCACCTGATGGCAACGGTGAGACCTTGTATTGAAGCGACAATGCCTTCCTTACAAGGAGCATGGATACCTGACGGCGAGCCAGAGTACGCCAGCGTTTGCAAACGGCCGTGATGAGGAGGTTGTAGGCAGGATCCGTAAGTAGGGTAGGAGCTGACAACGGACTTAGGGTTCCAGCAGTAGCATGATCGCCGTTTCGCGGCTGCAGTGAGGACGGTTCAGTGGTTAGAGATGGGCTTAGAATATACATGGCAGGGAGGACGATTCCAATGCTGACGAGCAGATTCAGTGGTTAGAGACGGCTTACATAAACATGGCAATGATGGAATACCCCACGCCTCCCCTCTTCCCTTCCTCCTCTTCTGATCCCTGATCCCATCCTCCCCAGTCTCCTGACTGATGCAGACGATCTGATTGAGTGGCTGTATACGGCATACATCTACATGGCCATGCTGGACTACCTCGTCCCCTCTGACTTACCTTCCCCTCCCTCCTCGCACCCTTTACCCCAGTCCCTTGACCAATGCAGACGACCTAATTGAGTGGTTGGAAACCTCCTATATCCACACGGCAATGGTGGATTACCCCGTGCCCCCAACTCTCTGTCTCCTCCTCCCCACTCTTATCCTCCTCTTCTCCTCCCAGTCCCCTAACTAACGCAGACGACTTGATCGAGTGGCTGGAGACAGCATATGTATACATGGCCACGCTGGACTACCCCGTGCCCTCTGACTTCCTCATTCTCCCCCTCCAGCATGACTTCCCTTCTCTCTTCCCGCCTTCGATCTTCCTCTCCTCCAGCTCCCTGACTGATGCAGAGGTCTTGATTGCATGGTTCGAGACAGCATATATGTACATGGCAAAGGTGGACTATTCCGTGCCCTCTGAATTCCTCTTTCTCCCCTCACCCGTCCTCTCCTCTCCTCCCTCGTGGCCCTCAGCCCGTTGACCGATGCAGATGATCTTATCTCATGGTTGGAAACGGCATACATCTACATGGCAATGGTGGATTACCCAGTGCCCTCTGATTTCCTCATGCCACTGCCCGCCCACCCCATTCGAGAGGTACGCATTCGGGAGGTAGCCTTATGTCGTAATATGGGGGTTACTGAAAATAACCTGCATGGTTTGCCCTGGTGGACTACCCAGTGCCCTCTGAATTTCTCATGCCGCTACTCGCCCATCCCAATCGAGAGATGTGTTGTGAATATGTTTTATTGAGAATTCACATGGTAACCTGCATGGTCTGCCATGCAAAAGGTTCAGATGTGGTTGCATCAGTGCGCATGCCTTTGCACGTTCCCGTGCCTATGCATATGCGCATGCGCATGCGCATACACAAGAATTGAAATTATGACCTTTGACCTGGTTTAACTGGCATCACTTTTGAGAATCCTCAAATTTGGCCTGGCTTTCGTTAGCATTACGCTCCGCAGCTATATGGAAATCACTTTTGGAAATTCTCAGAAGTGATTTCCGCAGCTCACACCGCCCATGTGCCCTCCCTCTCCCCCTCCCCCATGCCCTTCACCATGTCCTCAGCTGTGTCGACGAGTGGACAGTCTCCTCTCAGGTGCTGACCTTCTCGATTGCATCTATGCCGGGGTGGGCGTGTAATCCAGCTACTCATGCCCAGAGGCGTGCTCTAACACGCCCTGCTCTCCCCCACCTTGCACCATCCCATCCCATGTGCCCTCAGCTGTGCAGGCGCGTTAACTCCCTCCCCTCAGGTGCTGATCTTCTCGATCGCATCGCTGCCGGGGTGGGCGAGTATTACAACTACTCAGGTACCCAGGCAGCGCACATTTCCACCCTTCTCCATCCTTAACCCCATGTTGTTCCCCGTGTGTGCTCAGCTGTGTCGGCGAGTTGACAGCCTCCCTGCAAGTGCCAGCCTTATTGATCGCATTGTTGCTGGAGTGGGCGTGTATTACAACTACTCGGGATCTGAGTCGTGCTTCAGCGTTGGCGATACGGATCCCCATGACATGTCCAATGGGTGGGACTTCCAGGTACGGTCAATGGTTGAGGTACGGTCAATGGTTGAGTGGGGACTGCCCCCAAGTCTGCTTTTGAGTCGACTCAAAAGCAGATCAATGGTTGGGTGGGGACTGCCCCCAAGTGCTGACCTCCTCGAGCGCGTGTATGCCGGGGTGCGGGTGTGAGCCTGTATTACAACTACTCGGGCACTGAGGCGTGCTTCAGCGTGCGCAATACGGATCCCCATGACATGTCCAATGGGTGGGACTTCCAGGTATGGAGAATGGGTGTGTGGGACTGCCCCCAAGTGCTGACCCCCAAGGTATGGCAGCCTGCCTAGTGCCCGCCTACTGGAGCTTATGACATGACATGTCCAATGGGTGGGACTTCCAGGTATGGAGAATGGGTGTGTGGGACTGCCCCCAAGTGCTGACCCCCAAGGTATGGCAGCCTGCCTAGTGCCCGCCTACTGGAGCTTATGACATGACATGTCCAATGGGTGGGACTTCCAGGTATGGAGAATGGGTGTGTGGGACTGCCCCCAAGTGCTGACCCCCAAGGTATGGCAGCCTGCCTAGTGCCCGCCTACTGGAGCTTATGACATGACATGTCCAATGGGTGGGACTTCCAGGTATGGAGAATGGGTGTGTGGGACTGCCCCCAAGTGCTGACCCCCAAGGTATGGCAGCCTGCCTAGTGCCCGCCTACTGGAGCTTATGACATGACATGTCCAATGGGTGGGACTTCCAGGTATGGAGAATGGGTGTGTGGGACTGCCCCCAAGTGCTGACCCCCAAGGTATGGCAGCCTGCCTAGTGCCCGCCTACTGGAGCTTATGACATGACATGTCCAATGGGTGGGACTTCCAGGTATGGAGAATGGGTGTGTGGGACTGCCCCCAAGTGCTGACCCCCAAGGTATGGCAGCCTGCCTAGTGCCCGCCTACTGGAGCTTATGACATGACATGTCCAATGGGTGGGACTTCCAGGTATGGAGAATGGGTGTGTGGGACTGCCCCCAAGTGCTGACCCCCAAGGTATGGCAGCCTGCCTAGTGCCCGCCTACTGGAGCTTATGACATGACATGTCCAATGGGTGGGACTTCCAGGTATGGAGAATGGGTGTGTGGGACTGCCCCCAAGTGCTGACCCCCAAGGTATGGCAGCCTGCCTAGTGCCCGCCTACTGGAGCTTATGACATGACATGTCCAATGGGTGGGACTTCCAGGTATGGAGAATGGGTGTGTGGGACTGCCCCCAAGTGCTGACCCCCAAGGTATGGCAGCCTGCCTAGTGCCCGCCTACTGGAGCTTATGACATGACATGTCCAATGGGTGGGACTTCCAGGTATGGAGAATGGGTGTGTGGGACTGCCCCCAAGTGCTGACCCCCAAGGTATGGCAGCCTGCCTAGTGCCCGCCTACTGGAGCTTATGACATGACATGTCCAATGGGTGGGACTTCCAGGTATGGAGAATGGGTGTGTGGGACTGCCCCCAAGTGCTGACCCCCAAGGTATGGCAGCCTGCCTAGTGCCCGCCTACTGGAGCTTATGACATGACATGTCCAATGGGTGGGACTTCCAGGTATGGAGAATGGGTGTGTGGGACTGCCCCCAAGTGCTGACCCCCAAGGTATGGCAGCCTGCCTAGTGCCCGCCTACTGGAGCTTATGACATGACATGTCCAATGGGTGGGACTTCCAGGTATGGAGAATGGGTGTGTGGGACTGCCCCCAAGTGCTGACCCCCAAGGTATGGCAGCCTGCCTAGTGCCCGCCTACTGGAGCTTATGACATGACATGTCCAATGGGTGGGACTTCCAGGTATGGAGAATGGGTGTGTGGGACTGCCCCCAAGTGCTGACCCCCAAGGTATGGCAGCCTGCCTAGTGCCCGCCTACTGGAGCTTATGACATGACATGTCCAATGGGTGGGACTTCCAGGTATGGAGAATGGGTGTGTGGGACTGCCCCCAAGTGCTGACCCCCAAGGTATGGCAGCCTGCCTAGTGCCCGCCTACTGGAGCTTATGACATGACATGTCCAATGGGTGGGACTTCCAGGTATGGAGAATGGGTGTGTGGGACTGCCCCCAAGTGCTGACCCCCAAGGTATGGCAGCCTGCCTAGTGCCCGCCTACTGGAGCTTATGACATGACATGTCCAATGGGTGGGACTTCCAGGTATGGAGAATGGGTGTGTGGGACTGCCCCCAAGTGCTGACCCCCAAGGTATGGCAGCCTGCCTAGTGCCCGCCTACTGGAGCTTATGACATGACATGTCCAATGGGTGGGACTTCCAGGTATGGAGAATGGGTGTGTGGGACTGCCCCCAAGTGCTGACCCCCAAGGTATGGCAGCCTGCCTAGTGCCCGCCTACTGGAGCTTATGACATGACATGTCCAATGGGTGGGACTTCCAGGTATGGAGAATGGGTGTGTGGGACTGCCCCCAAGTGCTGACCCCCAAGGTATGGCAGCCTGCCTAGTGCCCGCCTACTGGAGCTTATGACATGACATGTCCAATGGGTGGGACTTCCAGGTATGGAGAATGGGTGTGTGGGACTGCCCCCAAGTGCTGACCCCCAAGGTATGGCAGCCTGCCTAGTGCCCGCCTACTGGAGCTTATGACATGACATGTCCAATGGGTGGGACTTCCAGGTATGGAGAATGGGTGTGTGGGACTGCCCCCAAGTGCTGACCCCCAAGGTATGGCAGCCTGCCTAGTGCCCGCCTACTGGAGCTTATGACATGACATGTCCAATGGGTGGGACTTCCAGGTATGGAGAATGGGTGTGTGGGACTGCCCCCAAGTGCTGACCCCCAAGGTATGGCAGCCTGCCTAGTGCCCGCCTACTGGAGCTTATGACATGACATGTCCAATGGGTGGGCCTTCCAGGTATGGAGAATGGGTGGGTGGGACTGCCAACTAAGCTATGGTGATTGCATGAGCGTCTTGGTTTTGTTTTGTTTTGTTTTGTTTTGTTTTGTTTGTTTGTTTGTTTTTTTTTTTCCATCCCCTCTCCCCCTTACTTCCACCACCCCAGGCATGCACGGAGCACGTAATGCCCATGAGCAGCAAAGCCAGCAACAGTCTTTTCTCTCTTGCTCCTCATGCCTTGCCCCACTTGTCGTCCTTCATTTCCCCCTGTGATCATCCCACCAGGCATGCACGGAGCATGTGATACCCATGAGCAGCAGCGCCAGCAACAGCCTGTTTAAACCCTTTGATTGGAACCAGACGGCCTTTGAGGACCATTCCCCGCCTCTTCCCCAGCTCTCCCCCGTCTCCCCCACCACCCCCCCTCTCCCCCGTCATCATCCTATCAGGCATGCACAGAGCATGTCATGCCCATGAGCAGCAACGCCAGCAACAGCCTGTTTGAGCCCTTTGAGTGGAACCAGACAGCCTTTGAGGAAAATTGCTTGCAGCAGTATGGCGTTGCTCCGAGACCCACCTGGGCCATGACTCAATTCGGTGGACGGGTGAGTGGCTGCACCACTTTATACCGCACCTCACCACGCCACAATGCACCCACACCGCACTGCACTGCGCCAGCAACAGCTTGTTCGAGCCCTTTGAGTGGAACCAGACGGCTTTTGAGGAGCACTGCTTGCAGCAGTACGGCGTTGCTCCCCGACCCACCTGGACCATGACCCAGATCGGCAGACAGGTGAGTGGTCTATACTGCACAGCACCACGTTGCACCGCACAGCACTGCATCACACGGCAGCCTGTTTAAACCCTTTTGAGTGGAACCAGATGGCCTTTGAGCAGCATTGCTTGCAGCAGTATGGCGCACGGCACGACACCTCACCACATTGCTCCACTACCTTGACCCCTGGAATGACATAGCTTCTGAGTACCCTAAACTCGAAGCCCTGAAGTCCCCCCGTCCTCCCTGATGCCTCACCCCTCCCCCCATCTCCCCCATTTGCAGTCCATCCGTTCAGCCCTGCGCCATTTCGGCAGCAACATCGTGTTCTCCCAGGGGGCGCTTGACCCCTGGAGTGGAGGCGGGTGAGTTGCATTCTCCATCGTTCCTTTTCCTCCCTCCTCCTTCGCTGCTTTCCCAATCGCTGCTCTTTTGGGATGCAAGATTGGGAGGAATTCAAAAGAATGAGGAGGGGATCTAGATAAATTAGGGGAAAATCGAGGAGGACTGGGAGGAATTGAATGAAAGTAAGAAGATAGTGCATGACCTTCTAACTTGAATCGAGTAATTTGGACCGGTCATAACAACTTTGTAATTTGCAAGGAATTAAGCATCAAGAGCGGCCGTCTAAAATGCTGAAAGGTTTTGAAGCCAATGGATTCAACATCCTTGGCACAGCAAAATATGTACTTTAATGCATGGTGTTGATACATAGGACACTCCTTTTTTTTGTGCAATTATAAAGGACTTATTGGTGAAAATAAAGGGTTACATGCAACCAGCATTATCGCTCTGCATACGCCTCTATGTGAGCATAAATGCAGTGGAGTAGTGTGCTTTCAGTATTCAGCGAATGTCAGGGACCTATCGCTTGTGAAAGAGAGAGTTTTGATGATGGCAACTTGCGTCTGCCGATTCATTATTTGATAGACAAACACAAAAAGCCATCACTACATCTCTCTTCATACGAGCGATCGGTTCATGGCCTTTGCTGAATGTTGAAAGCATATTATTCCACTGTATTTGAGCTGACGTAGAGGCGTTTGCCAAATAATAATGCTTATTGCACGGGCTCTTTTCTTGTGTCAAGTCCCTTGTAAATGCAAAAAAACTGGAAGATTTGTCTATGAATATCGTGTATTAGAGTACATAATCTCACATCTAAATTTCCTCCTTTCATTTGTTTCCCTCTCTTGTCCTCTCGCACTGCATGAATTCATGCTTCAGCCCTTATGGGGCATGTAAAACACTCCAAACCCTCCAAACCCATCTGACAGTGGCCCTCTTCATGCCCTCCTGATCCGTTCCTCACCTCCCTACTGCTACCGCCCTCTCTCTTCCCCTCATCTCTCCTGCCGCTCTCCCTTTTCCCTGCCTCCCCTCCCCTCCTTTTGTCCCCTCTTCCTCCCTTCCACCTCTCCCATCTCCACCAATCAGAGTGCTTGAGGACATTTCAGACACCCTAGTCAGCCTCACCATTCCTGACGGTGGGTTTGTTGCGACCCAGGTAAAAAGCCATTGCGGTGTCTGAGACGTCTCAAAAGTCACCCTAGTCAACCTTTTCCTTCCTGATGGGGAGTTTGTTGTACCCCAGTTGAAAGTTCTTGTAAGTCGATTTTTCCAAAGACTCGTTGTCTATGACTCCAAAGACTCATTTTGATGTTCTTGTAAGTCGATTCTTCCAAAGACTCGTTGTCCCTCCTTTTGTTGCTCTGGCTCGCAATCACCTTGGCGCTTGATCTATAGTCCATTGTTGCAAATGTAAAAAAAAAAAAAAAAAAAAAAAAAAAAAAAAAAAAAAAAAAAAATTGCAAGAAAGTGTGTGCACACCTGATTTTTCCTCTTCCCCCCCCCCTTGCCTCTCTCCTCCACACGACTTTGCCCTCCTCCCCGTTCTCCTGCCCCTCTATTTCTCCCCCAATTACCCACCACCTAGGCTTAAGGGTTTGTGTCTTTCCCCCTCCCCACACCTCCTCCCCACTCCCAGGTGCCCACCACCTGGCCCTGCGTGCGTCCACCCCAGATGGTGGGGGAGATGAGCGAGTAGGATGCGATCAAACATAAAGCGTTTTCTTGCCTCTCCCCTCCCCACTCCTCCCCACTCCTCCCCACTCCTCCCCACTCCTCCCCACTCCTCCCCACTCCTCCCAACGAGTCCCTTGTTTCAGGAGCCCACCACGTGGACCTGCCTGCATCCACCCCAGATGACTGCCCTTCGGTGCGGAAGGAAAGGAAGGAAAAAAATGAAGCACACTCAACGTGGTGTAATCAGTACATGCCTCCTTCCCTCTCCCCTCTCCACACCTCCTCCCCTCTCTCCCCTCCCTCCAGGCGCCCACCACCTGGACCTAAGGGCGTCCACCCCGGACGACCCCGCTTCGGTGCGGAAGCAGAGGAAGGAGAAGAAGCACATTCAGAAGTGGTGTAGTTAGTATGTGCTTTTATCCCTCCCTCCTCCCACACTTCTTTTCCTCTCTCCCCTCTCTCCAGGCGCCCACCACCTGGACCTGCGTGCGTCCACCCCAGCCGATCCCCCTTCGGTGCGGAAGCAGAGGAAGGAGGAGAAGAAGCACATACAGAAGTGGATCAAGCAGTTGCACAAGGACAGGGAGGAGGCGAAGAAGCAAGGGAGGAATGGCCTTCGTTTCAGGTAATGTTTTCCTTCCATCTAGCAGTTTCTCATCCTCGTTTTCTGTCTCTCACTCATCCTCCTTTTCCTTCTCTCTCTCATCCTCCTTTTCCTTCTCTTTCATCCCCCTCTCCCGTCCCTCTTGCAGCTTGCTCTCTTCCTATGAAGACGTCTCTTTCCACCTCCCTTCCTCTCCTCTCCTCTCACTACATCCTTCTTTCCCATGAATGAATTCTCTTACTCTCTCCCATCCCCCTCTCCCTTCCCCAGCTCGCTCTCTTCCTTCTATAATTTCCTCCTCTCTCTTCCATCCCCCCTTTTCCCTTCCCCATTGCAGCTCGCTCCCTTCCTTTGAAGACGTCTCCTCCACCTCCCTCGCTCTCTTCATCCTCTCTCTCACCCTCCTCGCCACATCTGTTGGTCTCTCCTTCTCCACCACACGCCGCGCACGCCCCATCCGCACCAGCTACCCACCCGCATTGCATCACCCGCTCATTGGGGGGAGACAGTGATACAGTGATACATTGATGAGTGAGGCATGACCATGCCCTCTCCCTCTCTCGCTCTCCTCGCCACATCTGTTGGTCTCTCCCTTTCCACCACACGCCGTGCACGCCTCATCAGCACCGGCTACCCGTTCGCATTGCACCACCCGCTCATTGGGGGGGGGGGCAGTGAGGCAGTGATACAGTGATGACTGGTGCAATGACCATGCCCTCTTCCTCTCTCGCTCTCCTCGCCACATCTGCTGGTCTCTCCCTCTGCACCACACGCCGAGCACGCCCCATCAGCACCACCTACTCACCCGCATTGCACCACCCGCTCATGGGGGGGAGACAGTGACCATGCCTCCATGAGCTTCTCTTGCCTTTTCCTATCAATCGCGTTTTTCTGTTGGGTACGCACCATCCGCACCACTCACCCGGATTGCACCATTGTATCATGGTGGGGAGGCAGTGAGGGAGTGAGTGAGCGAGGCTATGGGGCAGTGGGGCAGAGAGGCAGAGGGGCAGAGAGGCAGTGGGGCAGAGAGGCAGTGGGGCAGTGGGGCAGTGGGGCAGTGGGGCAGTGGGGAAGTGGAAAGGTTTTCCAAATATTATCAGGGTTCAACAAATTATACGGTAGCTAGTATAGATGTATTCTTAATAATGACTCTCAGCTATCAGCTTTTTGCCTTTGATGTTGTACATTCGATTTTTGTCAGGCGACATACATGAATGCCACAACCACAAACCCTAAATTCTAATTATCATGTACCGGTAGCTCCAATTTTCTACAACTCCCTACATGCAGCACTCATCATCTTCTTTTAAGCTACACAAAGATTGGGTTGGGTGTAGAAAGTGAAATGTGAACGGTGCTAGTGTTATTGCTAGCCAACTCGGACAGCACCATATAGCCATTGCTGTGAGCCGACCTGCTCCCAGGAGTGCGCAGTGTATAAGACCCCGTGTAGAGAGGTTATTTTTGAGACATCTCTACACATGGCTCCCAACAGTGTGCAGTGTGTTAAGACCCAGCGCAGGGTCATAGAAGAACGTGGCAAGATGTGCCCCAGTGGTACCGTCCGTACAGATCGCAAAATCCTCATATGCAGGAAACCTGGTGGAGACATGGAGGTCTTGTAGATAAGCAACTTCCACCCAAGTCCTGGGGGGCGAGTGGATGTGCGAACCTGTGACGACCGAGATCCGCTCACCACCAGTGGTGGAGAGCCAAGGTGAAACGCACCCCTTAAAGATCGGGGAGACTACTGCACCGATGGTGCGGAAGAAGGCCTCGATCTTAGTCAGGCTAGAATCAAGAAGATCGATAGTGAGTTGCATGGGGTGCATGGCGAGGAGAGTGTCGCGGACAGGCGCAAAGCGCTCAGGGAGGCAGGCTGTGATGAGGTACAGTGTGAGATGCATATACGGAACCTGGCTAGCAAGCCGGGCAGTAGCGCAAGCTGTGCGGTAGCTAGCGTCAAGCAAGCGCAGGTGGGTAATGAGGTCTACGACTGTGGAGAATACTGGAGAATTGGAGAACAGCAACGCCAGGACGAGGCGCAATAGAGTAGCAGACAAGTGGGTGGAGTAGCGCGTAATAATAGCATCTAAACACTCCTTCGCCGTCGCGAAATGACGAAAGTGCACCCACTCGGTCCGCGGAAGGAGGCGGATAAGAGCAAGGCGCGCAGCTGCGTCACGCGATTCCGAAACCCTGTATGCAAGTTGGACCACGCGGTGAGCCTCCTGCTCTGCCAACGTGGCCTCAGCAGCAAGAACAGGAGGACGCTGGGGAGCAGGTAGCTCGCCCGACGCGTGTGCGTACAGGGTGGCGTTACTCTGGACCTGGCTCCGCAGGTGGAGCGTGGCGTTGAGCAGCCATGCGTCAAAGTCGATCGCCTGCCCCTCCGCATCGAGCCGAAGCATGAACTCGGGCGCCATGGTAGGAGAGGGCAGGGGCACGGCTTTAGCGGAGGGAACTATCACCCGCTCGTTCTCTGGTTGGGCAAAAACATGGATGGAAGGAAGCGAACGGGCGGGATGGGGAGGGATTGGGAGAGTTTGAGAAGGATGGAGGGGGGTGGATGGAGCGATAAGAAAACAGTGAGAGGTGCAGGAGGACAGGACGACCAATCGTTGGACCTCTAATGGAAGAATGAAGGGGTTGGATTCAGGAGTGGAGGGATGGAGAGGGGGGGAGGAAGGTGGAGGATGAGGGTGGAGAAAATCGTCGGTGTGGGTCCTTCAGTTGACGGGTAAAGGGATAGTGGGGAGGGGAGAACAGAAGGGGTAAAGAGACGATGCTGGGATGGAGGGAGGGGAAGGAAGGGGAGTGGAAGGATGAGGAGAGAGTGGGTGGTGCAGGCCTGCATAGGCCGCAAGGCTGCAAAGGCCTGCTATCATTAGACCCTGGCTTCAATATATGGCTTTTTGGTTAGATGCTTTAGAGCTTACATGTGATGTAGGAAATGATACAAGCTGTTTACTATTTTGTTGTCTTTTCCTTTTATAAGTTTGACATGTGATTGTGACAATGTAAGGAGTGAGCATCAACACTGGTTGGCCTTAAGAGGTGTGACTGACTGACCTGCAAGAGGAACCGCCTCATTGGAGAGTCGATCCGCCAACTGGTTCCACTCCTGGGAGGTGGTGAGGGGTGACAAGCGATGATGAGGGACGCAGAGGGGTGGTGAGCGGTGGTGAGGGAGGTGATGGATGGAGCACGTGGGAATTTAATGCACAAGTGTAAGAATGGCACAAGTAGTTCATGTTTACAAAGCACACGAGCATGGCACAATCCAAGAATGTATAACATTGAAAAAAACTACCAACCAACCAGCAATGTAAACAGATACTGCTGCCCTTGCACAACAGTCACAGTGTGTGCTTGCTGTGTCAACATGACTCTGCCTTGCTTGCATGCTTGTCAACATACCCCACTCAGCGAAAAAAAGGATGTTGAATGAGCGAGAAGTTGCGTGTGTGAACCCTCACACTCATGAGTCACGACCTGCCGTCTCCACACATCACCATATGCATCACTTTCACCACTTCCCTTCTGCATAACTATACTCCTATTACTCTCAAACCTCTCCATTCACCACCTACCATGGGCAGGTAGTGGATCGCAATCTCGTTGAACTGACACACCAGGTGCTGTCTGTGCTTACATGGTTGCTGTGCTGCTTCCCTGTTCCCCACAGATTTTCAGGAGGGAATTGTCACACCCACCTGAACAACAATCTCCACCTACCCTGGGACGTTGCAATCTCTTTGAACCACGGCTGGTAGAGAGAGATTGCCTCATCCAGCAGCAGACTATCTTCCACATCCACAACAGGAGTTTTCATTTCATTGCATGCGGTTTGCAAGATTTGAGCGCCTGAACTCTGCCTGGTACGCTCATTATAGGTGCCCATACTGACGAGACCCGTAGTGTGTGACACCTACCCTGGGCACATGATGGATCACAATCTCTCTGAACCAGCATATCAGATGCTGCGCTTGCCTGCACGGTTCCCGCAGCATCTCAACGTTCACCTTCCATTTGCCCTGCACCTGTGGGGATGTGGGGTAGGGAGGGAGTGGCATGTGTGCGTGTATCTGAGTGCACGTCTGTTTGTGTGGGTGGGTGTGCCCGTGAGTGCCTGTGCTAGTTTTGAGGCGCCTCAAAACCGGGAAGGGGAGTGGCATGTGTGCGTGTATGTGTGTGTCTTTGCATGTGCCTGTGTGCATATCCTTGCTTGCACGGCTCCCTCAGCATCTCTGCAGCACCGCTTTGCATGGTGTTTTCCTAGAGAGGAAAAAAAACTCGCACCTTTGCAACACTGTGATTGCAATACACTGAACGATCAGACCATGATAGATGTCACTTAGGTGGCAGGCAGTCAGTCGCTGTTCGAGTGCTGCGTTTGACAACATCAGGAAATGTGTACCTTTCAAAGACCTAGCTACGGGCAAGCTTAACAAGACCAGTTCGTGAAACGTGACGCCATTAGCAACCCAAGACAACGGAGAACATGATGCGGAATAATGTGGTGACGCCGACTGTGTGATTGATTAAAACGAGAGCATTGGGGTGATTTTTTAGGCGCATAAACGGCAACATTAGAGAGATGAAAAGGAAAGTTGTGGAAAACGGGGGGAACCATGCCAAGACGATGAGCATAAGTCCGCCTTGATCCCACCTTCCCCACCCACCCACCTGCATGACCACCAACATCGAATCTCCCTGCACGTGTAGCCTCGTGATGCCGAGAGCAAGTGCCAGCTCCACCCCCCCTATGAACGCGCGATACTCTGCCATGTTACACGTGCCGTGCCCCACGCCCTCCCTCATGCACACAAGCTAGTGGGAAAGGAAAGGGGGAGGGAGGTTGGGTTGGGGAGAAGGGAAGGTGGGTTCAGGTGGGGATGTGGACAAAGGTCTGTGACTTTGTACCCCCTATGAACGCGCAATACTCTGCCATGTTGCACGTGCCGTGCCCCACGACCTCCTTCATGCACACCATCTAGTGGGTGATGTGGTGCAGGTGGGGAGGGTGAGGGGGGTATGGAAGTGGAAACGGTTGGGAGTTGCGAGAAGGGATGTGCGGGGTCCCACACACCAAACGTCGACTTACCTCGATTTTTCGCCCGTCCCACATGACATACTTTTTAGCTAAAGAAGCACCTCCTTTCCAAACCGATGCCCGACAGTCTCACTTCGTTGCCCCGGCACCGACTCCGCCCCTGCCCGCCTCGGGTTGCCTCTGTTACCCAAAAGCCCGCCTCACCTCATTACTCCCTCCCTCTCACCTCTTTGCCATGTTCATCCCGCAACACAGAGCCCGCCCCGGCCCGCCCCGGGTTGCCCTTGGAGGCTCCGTCAAACTCCATGCGGTAGAGCGCCTGGGAGGGAGGGGGAGGATGGAGGGAGTAAACACCAGAAGGACGGAAGGCACGATGAGTAAAGGGGGAGAGGCAGAGGGTTGCCTTGGAGGCTCCGTCAAACTCCATTCGGTAGAGCGCCTGGAGAGGGGTTGTGAAAGCGGTGCGATGGCGACAGCAAAAGGTGGGATGATAAGTTGATCAAGGCACGGGAAAGGGCCGAGTCAAGCGCGACTTTTGAGTCGACTCAAAAGGGCCGAGTGAAGCGCAATCCTCGGAGGCTCCGTCAAACTCCATGCGGTAGAGAGAGCGCCTGGCGGGGATGAAAGGTATATTGTAAACTGTAAGTGGGGCTCTCTACATTTGAGTCGACTCAAAAGCGGACTCTACAAGTGGTCGCACCGCATGTCCTCCCTTCTTCTCACTTCCAGCCCACGTTTGAACTGACTGAAGGGTCGCCTTGAATGACTGGAGAACTTACCTGAGAATCCACCTAAGACTCACCTGAGGGTCTATCTGAAGCCCAAGTGATGCTACGATTGGTCGCATGTCCTCCCCTCTCCTCATCCTCACAGCCCCCTGCCTTCCCACTACTCTCACTCCCCCCTCCCTTCCCACACCCGCTCCCTCCTCCCCATCCCTCCCTCCTGCAGCAGACCACCCCCTTCCTCCCTGGCTCTCTGCGTATCCTCCTCCTATGGTGGGGTGGGTGGGGTAGAAAGGGAGGGGGAAAGGAAAGGTTTGAAGGAGTCTGTTTTCAGAATCATTCTTAGGGTGGGGTGGGGAGGGAGGGAGGACGAAGGGAAATGAGAGAAGGACAAAATCGCTCGAGTGAGTGGGAGAGGGAAGGTAGGAGAACGAGAGGAGAGAGGAAAGTAGTGAGTGGAAGTGCGTAGGGATGGGGGGCTATTAATTAACTATCACTAGGGAAGGGCTGTGCTGTGTTGTGTATATGACAGTGGAAACTTGAAAGTACTGAAACCGTGAAGCAGATTGTAGAATCGAACTGAAGAAACGGTTACTAAACCAGGTTACCAGGTCCGTTGACCTGAGCTGCAGTGCAGGAATGGGGATGCTGGCACCAGCCGCAGCAAATCATGTTGCACCTCTCAAAAGAGCGGGAAGTTACTAGTAGTAACAAACAACTCGGCTCGGCACTTGAGCACTCACCAGCATCAGCGCATTCCCCTGTTGTGACGGCAAAAAGAGTAATAGCAGCAGGAGCGGGAGCAGCAGCAGAAGGCGTAAAGGCGTGATTTGAAGCAGCACTTGTATACGGGTCAGCAGCAGTGGCAGCAGCAGCAGCAGGCACAAAGGCGTGACTTGGAGCCTCCGCGGCTGGCGTGAAAGGCGAAGTGACGAAGATGTTAGCAAGAGCGAGGTAGGACCTGGCTTCATCCAATGACTCAAAGCTCTTGCACTGGTTGCCTTTGAAATTATACACCTGGGGAAGATTGTAACGAGGACAGAGTATTTTCGATATGGTGGACTGGACTGGAATGTGCGTGTAGATGCGCTAAGGGAAAGGAGAACCTGCATTGTTGTCACCTAGGGTTGGGCTGCGAGAGATGGCCTGGGGGTTAGAGAAAAGGGCGTTCGTTTTCAGCGGTTGGTTGCCCTTATAAATTTTCTCCTGAGGAAGTTTATTACGAGGACACTGTATTTCCGAAATGGTGGACTGGATTGGACTGGAATGTGTGTGTATATGCGCTAAGGGAAAGGAGAACCTGCATTGTTGTCGCCTAGGTTTGGGGTGTGAGAGATGGCTTGGGGGTGAGAAAAAGACGTTCGCAGCATTGCGAGAGAACCGCAATTCAGAAGGAGAACCCGAAATGAACCGCACGAGAGACGAACAGTAACGTGCGCATTCGTTTACAATTAGCTCAGGTATATGACAATGCAGGGAGAAGGCATGTTGTAAGTTTTTTTTTTTTAATTGACTCAAAAATCGTATTTCCACAACTAGCTCTAATATTGAGATGACAATGCAGGGAGAAGGCATGTTGCTGTGGTCGCGCATATAAAATTTTGAATGTACGAAACCACGTCCGACTCATTAACAGTTGCTTACCTGTCGTTGACATTCCGGCCACGTCAGATAAATTCCTGGCTGGTGTCCCTTCCGAACCGCGTAGTACTTAGTCTTAGCCATTAGGATGTTCCCCTGTTGCGTCACGCGGCAATCGTCACTGATTCCAACGCCGCAACGAAGCGCATTGCCTCCTAAGCTACTGCGATGCGGGCCAACAGCGTCACGCTGCGCATAATTACGGTATAATGGTTAGAACGGGACGAGTGTGACAAAAATGGAGGATGTTTGCTCCCAGAGAAACCGCGAACCGAAATGCTGCGGCGAACAGCTGAATGGGGTGCGGTACGGTACATTTTGGAATTTACATGGTGAGCACGGCTGCAATATTTGTACTCTTTTAAATTTACAATTTTACAAAAATCTTGACTCACAGTATTGGCTGGTAAATTTTCAGTCCTCTTTATATCAAGATGAGCAGAGGCGTCTTGCGATGCAGAAAATCGATATGAAGATTGATAATATAAAACACTTGCACATGCAGATGTAGGTGTGACACCGGGCTCTTTCCTGCCAATCATTCACACTAGAGACCGCAGCTAATGTGTACCACTACTTTAGCCCCGTGTACCTTCAGGATGAGGCCCTACGGGAATGGAGTTTGGGGGTTCGGCGACGGCGTGCGTCTCTTCTGATTCGACTCAGAAGTCACCTTGAGGTGGTCAGGTCAGGAGGAACTAATTATGGTGGGTGGGACGGCTGCATCCGTTGCTGCAAAGTCTTTAGCCTAGCCGCAGCTCACATGTGCTTGAAGCACTGTGTTGGTCAGGACTCAGGAGGCCTTGGAACGGATTTTGGGGGGCCGGCCGCGTCTGGGGATGGGCTTGGGGGAGGGTAAGGAGGGGGAGGGGGTGGTGCTAGCGTTGTTGCTGTTGCTGGTGCTATCGTTGTCATACATTCCATGTCTCTGCTGGTCAAGAGGAGGCTTTGGAGGAGCGAATTTTGGGTGGCTGGCCCCGTCTGGGAATGGGCTTGGGGGAGGGTACGGAGACGGAGGGAATGGTGCTGGTGCCGTGGAGAAAGCGGGTGGTGCAGGTAGAGGGAATGATCACCCGTTGGTTCTCTGGTGGGGATTCAAGAGGAGGGATGAGGGGTGCGCAGGGGGGGAGGGAGGATGGAGAGGGAGGGAGGAGAATTGGAGTCATGAGAAGAAAGAAAGCGGGTTGTGCAGGTAGAGGGGATGATTACCCGTTGCTTCTCTGGATGGGGGTAAGGGGAGGGGGGAAAGAAATGGGGAGAGGGAGCGTAAGGAGAGGAGGGCAGTGGTGGTGTTGGCGGTGGTGCCGTGGAGAAAGCGGGTTGTGCAGATGGAGGGGATGATTACCCGTTGGTTCTCTGGTGGGGGGTAAGTGGAGGGGGGCAAGAAATGGGGAGAGGGAGCGTAAGGAGAGGAGGGCAGTGGTGGTGTTGGCGGTGGTGCCGTGGAGAAAGCGGGTTGTGCAGGTGGAGGGGAGGATTACCCGTTGGTTCTCTGGTGGGGAATCAAGAGGAGGGATGAAGGATGAGGGGGGAAACGGATGGAGAGGGAGAGAGAAGGAGGGTTGGAGCCATGAGATGAAAGAAAGCGGATGGTACAGGTAGAGGGGATGATTAAGCGTTGGTTCGGTAGGGTAACATAAGCCCACCTGTCCCTTGTTGACAGGTGGAGGGTACGATTAAGCCTTGGTTCTCTGGTTGACATAAAAAGGGAGGGAAACAGGGCGGAGGAGATACGCGATGGGGAGGGAGAGAGGAGGGTTGGAGCCATGAGAATTCCTACAAGTACCATGCTGGCTCAAGGGTTCCCTGTCTGACCTGCTAGAGGCGCGGTTCCGTTGAGAAACCTTGATGTGTTGCTTTTGAGAGTCCTCACACGTACCATCAATGGCTTTAAGAGTTCTAAGTGACTGACCTTTAAGAGGCACGGCTTCGTTGGAGAGGAGATCCGCCAGCTGGTTGCACTCCTGGGGGTGGTGAGCGGTGATGAGGGGTGGTGCAGAGTAGTGAGGGGTGAAGAGAGGTGAAAAGGGGTCGCAGGGGATGAAGAGAGACGATCAGAGAGGATGAGGGGTATGTACGTGATGTGACACATCCTCAGACTAGGTGATACGTAGACCATAGTCCATGGCATGGCACACAGTACGTGTAACGTAACACATGTACATGACACAAAGTACATGACACAGAGTACATGACACCCACCCTGGGCACGTGGAGGATTGCAATCTCTTTGAACCGAGATATCAGCTCCTGTGCTTGCTTGCTGTGCTGCTGTCACACATACCCTCCCCACCCCACTACCCTCCCCACCTCACTCTCTCCAGCCCTCTCTGTTCCCCACCTACCCTGGGCACGTGGCGGATGGAGATTTCTTTGAACCGAGTCACCAGTTCCTGTGCTTGCTTGCACTCCCCCCTCAGCATCTCCGCATTCACCTTCCACTTCTTCTGCACCTGTGGGTGTGTCGATGAGGAGGGAAGGAGTGGTATGTGTGCATCATGAATGTGTGCATCATGTATGTGTGCATCATGTATGTGTGCATCATGTATGTGTGTGGCATGTGTGTGTGGCATGTGTGTGTGGCATGTGTGTGGCATGTGTGTGTGGCATGTGTGTGTGGTATGTGTGTGTGGCATGTGTGTGTGGCATGTGTGCGTGGCATGTGTGTGTGGCATGTGTGTGGCATGTGTGTGTGGCATGTGTGCGTGGCATGTGTGTGTGGCATGTGTGTGGCATGTGTGTGTGGCATGTGTGTGTGGCATGTGTGTGTGGCATGTGTGTGTGGTATGTGTGTCAGTCTTTGCATGTGCTTGCTTGCACTCCTCCCCCAGCAGCACCTCCGCATTCACCTTCGTGGCAGTCTTATTCTGTACCTGTGGCGGGTGGAAGGGCAGTGGACCAGCAGAGTGGCACACCTAGCAGCTTGAGTGGTGTGTACATGCATGCATGCGTGTTTCTGTGCACGTGCTTGCTTGCATTCCTCCCTCAGCAAGCTTGAGTTGTGTGTGCATGCATGCGTGGCTCCCTCAGCCATGCAAAGAAGAGAGTGTTTCTGTGCATGTGCTTGCTTGCATGGCTCCCTCAGCATCTCCGCATTCACCTTCGACTTCTTCCCCCCACTTTCACCCACCAACCTGCATGACCACCAGCATGGCGTCTCCTTGAACATGCAGCCCCGTGATCCCAAGAGGAGATGGTTGCATTGCCCTACACCTCACGTCACCACCCATCCACCCACCCACCCACCTGCATGACCACGAGCATGGAGTCTCCTTGAACGTGCAGCCGCGTGATCCCAAGAGCCAGAGCCAGCTCGTGTTTTTTGAGAATTCTCAAAAAACACGCCAGAGCTAGCTCCACCCCCCCTATGAACGCGCGATGCCATGCTGTGCTGAGGCACGAGGTGCCTACTAAATTGCCATACAAGCAATCTCACCTGCGTGACCACCAGCATAGAGTCTCCCTGCATATGCAACCGGGTGATCCCAAGAGCCAGTGCCAGCTGCAATCCCCCTATGAACGCCCAATGCTCCGCTGTGTTACACGTGGTGCTACGAGGTGACTAGCAGATTGCCATACACCTTACCAACCATCCCACCTGTACAATTCCACCCATCCCACCTGCATGACCACGAGCATGGAGTCTCCTTGCACATGCAGCCGTGTGATGCCGAGAGCCAGAGCCAGCTCCACCCCCCCTATGAACGCGCGATACTCTGCCATGTTGCACGTGCCGTGCCCCACTCCCTCCCTCATACACACCAGCTGGTGGGGAGTGGGGTGGGGTGAGCATAGAAATACGAAAATAAGGGGGAGATGATGGGCGGGAGGGAGAGGAGGAGGGGTGGGATGGATTTGAATAGTGGTGGGATGGAGGAACAGTGGTGTGGAGGGATGTGAGAGATGTAAGGGAAAGACAAAAGGAAGAAGAGAAGAGGACCGGTGGGATGGTGTTGAGTTGAAGCCAGCTCCCTCAGTTGAAGCCCCACGCCTCCGCCCTCCCTCAGTGGAGTTCACGCCAGCTCCATTCCTCGTATGAACGCCCGATACTCTGCCATGTTGCATGCGAGTGCTTGTCCAGTGGCGGGAACGACTCACTCACCCCCACCAGAAACCCCCACTCACCTCGTTGTCGTGCTCATCCCACAGCATAGAGCCCGCCCCTGCCCGCCCCCAGTTGCCCCTGCTCTGCTACCCAAAACCCCACCTCTCACCCCACCCCGAAGCCCACCTCTCCCTCCATCACCTCACCTCGTTGCCCCCTTCATCCCACAGCACCGACCCCGCGCCTGCCCGCCCCGGGTTGCCCTTGGATGCCCCGTCAAACTCCATGCGGTAGAGCGCCTGGGGGGGAGAAAGGCACACAGTTAGTGAAAGGCACACAGTGAGTGAACCAAAAAGGGGAAGAGACGAGGCACTGGGTACGGAAGAGAGAGCTCGAAGCATTGCCCTTGGAGGGTCCGTCAAATTCCATGCGGTAAAGGGCCTGGGGGGGAAGGTGAAAGACACAAAGGTCTCCTTGGGATATATGTCAGCACAATTGGGGGGGTCAATCTGAGAATGACACAAAGGTCTAACTGGACTGGAAGAGCTGACATGACACGTGTGGCTGCTCGCATGCCCTCCTGTGTGGTTGCTCTCAATCTGAGAATGACAGGAAGGTCTAACTGGAAGCCAAGGGCTGACACGACACGTGTGGCTGCTCGCATGTCCTTCCCCTCCTCTCTCCTCATCCCCCACCCGCAGTAACATCAATCAACGCACTCACAATAAGCCATAGTCTTTTGTTTTTGCCTTTGATTTTGCCTTTTTATGCGTCTAGATAAACTTTACCTGCGGGTCTATTTGCAAGCGGAGTGTTGCTACGTGTGGCTGCATGTCCTCCCCTCTCCTCATCCTCACCGCCCCTTCCTCTACCACTGCTCCCAACCCCCCCTCGCTCGCCCTTGCGTCTATCAGTGAGAGAGACTGACCTGTGGGTCTATTTGCAAACCAAGTTCCGCTACCCGTTGCCGCATGTCCTCCCCTCTACTCATCCTCACCGCCCCTTCCTCTACCACTGCTCCCACTCCCCCCTCGCCCCCCACACTTCCCCCACCCCCCTCCTCCTCATCCCCCCTTCCTGCACCCGACCCCCCCCTCTCGCCCTCGCTCTCTGTGCTTTCACCTGCAGAAGCGGGTTAGGCGGTTGGTGTAGAGAGGGAGGGAGAAGGGAAGATGAGAGCTTGGCCTTTGAGGAGGCTTATACGAAAAATAGCTTTTGAGTCGACTCAAAAGCAGAGCTTGGCCATAGAGGAGGCTTATACGAAAAATAGCCCGCTTTCTAGATTGGGGTAGGGTGGAGAGGGAGGAAAAATGGAAAGGTGCAAGCGAGTGAGCGGGAGAGGGAGCGAGAAAGGTGGGACTTCACAAACAACGAAGAAGTAAGTGAGAAGAGGGAGAGGAGCAGGATTCGAGAGTAGGAGAGGGAGAAGAAGCATCAGCAGCAGCAACAAAACACAAATTCGTAGCAAAGAATATTCCAATACGTACCAGCAGCGATACGATCCGCATTCGCGAAAGCAGCAGCATTGGCAGGCGCAGCGACAGCAACAGCACCAGAGACAGCAGCAGGAGTGACACGAGCGGGCAGGTATAATGGCGAAGAGACGAATTGAACACCTACCAGCAGCAGTACGATCTGCATTTGCAGCAGCATCGGCAGCAGCAGCAACAGCAGCAGCGGCAGAAACAGCAGCAGGGGTGGTGACACGAACAGCAGCAGAAGGAATAGCGGTTCTTTTCAGAGCAGAAGCAGCAGCGTGCTTGGGGGGAGAAGAGACGAAGACGTTAGCCAGGGCGAGGTAGGATAGAGCTTCATCCAAGTTGGTGAAGCTCTTGTGCTGATTGCCCTTGAAATTGGTCACCTGGAAAGGAAAAGGAGTAGACAGTATAGGGTACAGTGAGTGCACAGACAGAGGAGATGGGAGAGCGAGGTTGGGGAGGGGATCATTCATTCAATGTGGTGGAGCTCTTGTGCTGGTTGCCCTTGAAATTCGTCACCTGGGGAACAAATAAAAGGAAGGTACAGTGAGTACGCGAAGGAAATAAAGAAGGAGCATGCGTTGCCCTTGTAATTAGTCACCTGGGGAATAATCAGCAAAAAGTGGACTTGGAAATTTGAATGGATGAAGCAAAGGAATAGGTCATGCATGGTGGATGCATGGTGGGATGGATGGTGGGATGAAGGATGGGATGGATGGTCAGATGCATGGTGGGATGCATGGTGGGATGAATGGTGGGATGCATGGTGTGATGCATGGTGGGATGCATGATGGGATGCACGGTGGGATGGATGGTGGGATGCATGGTGGGATGCATGATGGGATGCACGGTGGGATGAATGGTGGGATGGATGGTGGGATGAATGGTGGGATGCATGGTGGGATGCATGATGGGATGCACGGTGGGATGCACGGTGGGATGCATGGTGGGATGCATGATGGGATGCACGGTGGGATGGATGGTGGGATGGATGGTGGGATGAATGGTGGGATGCATGATGGGATGCACGGTGGGATGGATGGTGGGATGAATGGTGGGATGCATGGTGGGATGCATGATGGGATGCACGGTGGGATGAATGGTGGGATGGATGGTGGGATGAATGGTGGGATGGATGGTGGGATGGATGGTGGGATGCATGGTGGGATGCATGGTGGGATGCATGGTGGGATGCATGGTGTCATCCATGGTGATTCAGGATTACCTATACGCAACACCACGTCAGACTCAACTCCAGCTGCTTACCTGTCGTTGGCATTCCGGCCACGTCAGATAGATCCCCGGCTGATGCCCTTTTCGAACCGCGTAGTACTTATTCTTAGAACCCTCTTTCCCGCCACTAGACGGCTTGGCCTTCGTCATCGCCTTCTGCGCCAATTGCGTCACGCGGCGGCTCGACAGGGCTTGAAGCGCGGAGACGAGGCGCATTCGCCCTCGCTTCGCTTACGTCTGTCGCGTAGCGAGAACAGGTTACGAATGTTCAGTGCGTGGGACGAGTCAAGAATTGTAAGCGCACTCGCTTCGCGCTCTAACAGATGGAACCCCCGCGCTGCCGCGATCCCACCTCCCTAGCAAACCCTAACTTGGGTGTGATCGTCACGATATGGTTGCAGCTCTTGCTTCCCCAACTCGTGCGACCGCGGACCGCTGATGATTTTAATTGCTGAAAAAAGCCACCAAAATAAGAGCTTCTGACGGGAGTTATTTTCCTGTTCTGTAAGCGATCAACGCCCTAGAAGATGGTCGGAAGAATGCTCGTGTGGTGGATGTCAGTTCAGAACGTTCTATTTTCTTCACCGCTTGGAAACGCTACCAATCGCATCGAGTCTAGTTCATGGTGAGCAAACTTTGACGGTTCGCTACATCTACCCTCGACTTCGTAAAAGTCAATTGTTCCAATTTACACATATGATGTACAATGCATATTTTGTTAATAAAGACACTAAAGTCTTGCTGCACTAGAAATTATGTTGCTCCGCGACATTCACAATAACCTCCTACATGGCATAATCGGTAACAATAATTATACCGAGATTTTGGTGCCATAATCAATAAGCCATGCATTTATCCTGTGTAAACTGATTGTTGCTGGATGAATAAGAGTGCAATAAACAGCCACTTCGTATATACGCCCTCAATGGGGTTTAGCACACACCTGGAAACTGAGAGCTGGAGCGCAGCTGCCCAGCTTCCCACCACGTAACTTCATAACCAAGGACATGCCCCTACCTTCGTGTCTAATGGAATAAAACCTACGACACGAAATTAGGGACGCGGCCTAGCGGTTCCCTGTAGAATTGCAGTCTGTTATACGGTGCCCTCAATGAGCACACCCTCCAAATTTTATGTTATAACGCCTCTTAGCACCCTGCCAGAGCATCTACGGACGTGGAGAAGGCCTGAAAAATGAGCCAACACCGTTGATGGTTCCACGAACAGTGTCTCTAACGGTCCCGCCAATAGCGCGTCCGATTCCCCCGCGGAGACTCGTGGTGCTCGCTGCGGGGATCAGGTCCGGCGGGATGAGCAGCGTGCTCGTACCCTGGATGGTGAAGTCCGAACCTACCCACAGGTTCGGCACGACCAGAGCTGTCGGCAGCTTCGACCCACCTTGAAACGTGACAATTGGCCGGCCCTTGGGACCGCGCTTCGCGACAAGGTTTCCCTCGATAGTGTCGATCTGGGTGCCGGGGGGGATATCGGTGAGGTTGCGGAAGAGGTATCGCGTAGCGATCGTGTTATAAGAGAGAATCGTCGACTGCTGGTCCTTGGTGTAGCTCTGAAGCGCCGCAATGTTCGCCGGAAGCAAGATGGTTATGTCCGTTAGAGGGATCTTCGACTTCACTGTAATGGAGGGGAGACGTCGAATAAGACATATGATCAGCACCGGACTTGGGGAGGTTCTGGCGAAGGTTTGGCGAAAACAGACGGCAAGGCTTGGCAGGAAGGAGATGGGAAAGAGAGTTTGGTGCGAATTGGATCCCTCTATTGAGTGACTCGCTTTACGCCCGCCGGAACTTACGATAGTCGTCGACGAATTTGTGGAGGCCTTGGTACGCCGGGTGTTGCGAGATGCCGTTGACGGCTCGATCGACCTCCTTTGTTCTAAGAGCGGAAACGTGAGAGCCGCTGTGACACAGCAGGACGATCATCGCTAGGAGACCGACAGGATGGAGCGATCCCATTCTCAAAGCTGGTTACGGGCTGAGAAACTATGGAACCACAGTATAGCACAAAATGTACCTAATTGGCGTTGGTTTTGCGAGGATATGAAAAAAAACTTAAAAAGTGTCTAAGGGAGCGCTACCCTGAGGCTAAGCTGAGGGAGGTTTTGAGGTGCGCAAGGGGAGAGCGAGTAATGGAGTACCAGGAAAACTGGTAAACAGGAAATGGAGAACTGGAGGCTAGGAGAGTTGGAGAACAGGAGAGAACCGGAGTAGAGTGGTGGAGATTGCCGTTAGTGGTGATGAATGATGATGATGCAGGTCATCAAACTGCTTTTGAAGTGCGATTGAGAAACTCAAGTCGCGTGCGACAGAAAGTGCTAGTCTGACGATATCGCAGGCAAACTTTGTCCGAGTCGCTGCAAGGAAGGCTCATCGCAGGGCCAATGAAGCTCCCATTACCCACGGTGTGAGGCTCCGCGCCTGAGTTCGTGAAACAGTGTTCCGTCCATCACGCGGTTCGTAGAGTCGCCTGCGTCGCTTGTCGGTTCACGACGGGTCACCGAAATCCACCCAGCGAGAACAGTCGGTTACACTGCGAAGAATCCCGCTGAACGGCGAGACTGTCGGTCAGCAGCTGGCTGGCGTGGCTCATCGCATTGTCGTTTCTGTTGGACGACGTTCTGGCGAAATCGAAAATGCCCTGCCTTGCGAAAGTATTGCACTGCACCGTGGCATTCGATTGGCGGGGTTTGCTCCAGGCCTTGTGGTGGCCGAAATTTACCTCTGTACGCGATGTAAAGGGACTCAAAACTGAAAAGACAAATGGGAAATTTATCTGTATGAAACTGTTACTTCACCTGCCATCCCAGCAGAAGTGACATCGTGGCATCACGCCACGAAATAGCATCCATGAATGCTGCTTCTGCCTGACGAGGTAGCCAGCAGGTAGCTAGCGCAGCTAGTGTAGTACCAAAAAACCCCTCGCGTTGTCCCAAGCAGACAGTTTTTGCAGAGAATCTCGCCATTGCTTTCACCTCGCGGTGAATTGGACCAATCCGTCGCTAATCGGTTCAGGCTGAGCCCAGCTGGCAGCCATGGCCGCCACGTTAGCGTTTGATCCTGAGAATTCCCGCACGGGAGGAATCTCTCCGCGCAAGCCAAGTCTATTATATTCCAGACCGGAAATTCCAGAATCCTTGTGCGATTTCAGATCGAATTCGCCGTCGCTGTGCGACCTGCCAAGCCCAATCGTCGCACACATTCTCTCGCGATCGCTCTGCGATCCGCGCGACGTTGTTGCCGTGAGAAGCGCCTGTCGCGGTCTTCGCGATGCAGTTGCCTCGGCACCTCTCCGGCTGTCGCTTCTGCAGATGGATCGGGTTTCTGTTTGTCAAAAGGACGGAGCCAATGGCAGCGTGCCACGTAAGTGCATTTGACGTGCTTGTCGACTCGTTGTTTGGCGCGAGGGGATCTGTGCGGCTTAATAACGGGGATAGCTGGTAATTGATTTTTAGTGATAAGGTACAACCTCCAGCGGCTAGCTACTTTTTATTGCGGGATAATAATTGGTTAAAATGCTCCTAATTCTTCCGAGTCGTGTCTTAACTGCACCGCCTTTGTGTCTTCGTGCTTAATCCATCCACATCCTTACAGAATCTGCGAACGCCAGCTCAGCTGCCACGTCGGCAGAGCAACTTGCCTCCTTCCCCCTGCACAGCTCTACATGGTGCTCTCAGGCAGTACCGGGAATTGCACACGTGGCGCCGCTACTGCACACGCTGTCACTTGCCACCTCAGCAGTGTCTGATGCTGACGTGGCAATGTGTATCTCCTCGCTGACTAGGATGCAAGTGCTTGTGTTGGATAACTGCAGAAAGCTGTAAGTAATCTGGGTTTCCTTGTTCTTTTCTTCTTCTTCTCCTTTTAACCTATACGTTTCAGCATAGGCTGATACGAGATACCAAACATTCAGAACGTGTAAGTATGCATTATCTGAACCCAAAAGGCTCTGGGTGTTGCGCATTTCCTTCCTCTTCTGTCTCCCTCTCTTCCTCTCTCCCTCTCTCCCTCTCTCCCCTCCTCTCCCCCACCAGCACAGATGCATTGGCGCCTCATCTCGCCTCCTCCCCCTCTCTCACCACCATCTCCCTCCACCGCTGCTTCAGCCACACACGGCCTCGCTTGCTTCCAGCGAACCTTGATCATTGCTTATCTTTTTCCCTCTTTCTCTCTTCCCCTCGTCCCCTCTCGTCCCCTGTCTCCCTCTCTTCCTCTCTCCCTCTCTCCCTCTCTCCCCTCCTCTTCCCCACCAGCACAGACGCATTGGCGCCTCATCTCGCCTCCTCCCCCTCCCTCACCACCATCTCCCGGCACTGCTGCTTCAGCCTCACACCCCACACCTCCCGTCCTCTTCCCCTCTCTCCCTCCCCTACCCCCCCACCCCACCAGCACAGACGCATTGGCGCCTCATCTCGCCTCCTCCCCCGCCCTCACCACCATCTCTCTCCACCGCTGCTTCGGCCTCTCCCCCCACACCGTCTCGCTCCTTCTAGAAGCTTCCAGGAAACCGGGCTCGGTGCTGACTGCCCTGGTCTTCAGCCACGTGGACAGGCTCTCTTTGCGCCACGTGGCACCCCCAGATACCGCTATCCCCAGTGCCGCCCAGAGCGAGCCTCCAAAAGAGGATGAGGATGGGCGCATGTCATTTCTTGGACTGACTCGGAAGAGAGAGGAGGAGGGTGAGTGGTGGGAAATGACATGCAAAGGAGGGTGTGGGGAATGGGGGTTGGGTAGGTGAAGGGGGTTGGATGAGAGGAGGATGGGCTCATGGCCTTTCTTGGACTTGCTGGGACGACGGGGGAGGAGGGTTGATGGAATGACACGAGAATGGGAGGAACCCCTCTCAACCTCCACCCCACCCCCATGAACCCCTCTCAACCTCCACCCCACCCCCATGAACCCCTCTCAACCTCCACCCCACCCCCATGAACCCCTCTCAACCTCCTTCTCAGCTGGGCGCTCTCACGAGAGTTTCACCCGCCCTCCCCCTGCGCCCCCTCTCCCTTGTGCATGTGCTAACCCGCTTCCCCTCGTTCACTGCACACCCTCCCTCCCGGCCCCCCTCATCCTCTCCCCAACCCCACCTCACCAGCCTCCTTCCCAGCAGCACTCTCTCGAGCGCTCCAACGCCCTTCTTCCCTGCGTTCCCTCTCCCTGCACTCCTGCCAAGCGCTCTCAGCCAGAGCGCTGCAGCTCATTGTGAGTGCAAGAGTGGGTTGGTAGGAGCTGGCTGCTTGCAAGGAGAAGAGGGTACTCACGGTATGTGTGCAGGGATGGCCCTACACTCCTGCCGTGTGCAGGGATGTCCCTACCCTACACTCCTGCCAAGCGTTGCCTGCCAGAGTGCTGCAACTCCTGGTGAGTGATAGGAAAGAGAGGCCCAAGAATGTATACAGTATCCCTCCCTCCTCCCCGCGCGCCCTCTCTCGGCATTCCTGCCATGCACTCTCAACCAGAGCGGTGCAGCTCATTGTGAGTGGTAGAGTGTTGTTATTAGTAAACAGGCGGGCTGCGGAGGTCTGACGTCCCATTGTGAGTGGTAGAGTGTGCTTTTGAGTCGAGTCAAATGCAGCTCATTGTGAGTGGTAGAGTGTGCTTTTGAGTCGACTCAAATGCAGCTCATTGTGAGTGGTAGAGTGTGCTTTTGAGTCGACTCAAATGCAGCTCATTGTGAGTGGTAGAGTGTGCTTTTGAGTCGACTCAAATGCAGCTCATTGTGAGTGGTAGAGTGTGCTTTTGAGTCGACTCAAATGCAGCTCATTGTGAGTGGTAGAGTGTGCTTTTGAGTCGACTCAAATGCAGCTCATTGTGAGTGGTAGAGTGTGCTTTTGAGTCGACTCAAATGCAGCTCATTGTGAGTGGTAGAGTGTGCTTTTGAGTCGACTCAAATGCAGCTCATTGTGAGTGGTAGAGTGTGCTTTTGAGTCGAGTCAAATGCAGCTCATTGTGAGTGGTAGAGTGTGCTTTTGAGTCGACTCAAATGCAGCTCATTGTGAGTGGTAGAGTGTGCTTTTGAGTCGACTCAAATGCAGCTCATTGTGAGTGGTAGAGTGTGCTTTTGAGTCGACTCAAATGCAGCTCATTGTGAGTGGTAGAGTGTGCTTTTGAGTCGACTCAAATGCAGCTCATTGTGAGTGGTAGAGTGTGCTTTTGAGTCGACTCAAATGCAGCTCATTGTGAGTGGTAGAGTGTGCTTTTGAGTCGAGTCAAATGCAGCTCATTGTGAGTGGTAGAGTGTGCTTTTGAGTCGAGTCAAATGCAGCTCATTGTGAGTGGTAGAGTGTGCTTTTGAGTCGACTCAAATGCAGCTCATTGTGAGTGGTAGAGTGTGCTTTTGAGTCGACTCAAATGCAGCTCATTGTGAGTGGTAGAGTGTGCTTTTGAGTCGACTCAAATGCAGCTCATTGTGAGTGGTAGAGTGTGCTTTTGAGTCGACTCAAATGCAGCCCATTGTGAGTGGTAGAGTGTGCTTTTGAGTCGACTCAAATGCAGCTCATTGTGAGTGGTAGAGTGTGCTTTTGAGTCGACTCAAATGCAGCTCATTGTGAGTGGTAGAGTGTGCTTTTGAGTCGACTCAAATGCAGCTCATTGTGAGTGGTAGAGTGTGCTTTTGAGTCGACTCAAATGCAGCTCATTGTGAGTGGTAGAGTGTGCTTTTGAGTCGACTCAAATGCAGCCCATTGTGAGTGGTAGAGTGTGCTTTTGAGTCGACTCAAATGCAGCTCATTGTGAGTGGTAGAGTGTGCTTTTGAGTCGACTCAAATGCAGCTCATTGTGAGTGGTAGAGTGTGCTTTTGAGTCGACTCAAATGCAGCTCATTGTGAGTGGTAGAGTGTGCTTTTGAGTCGACTCAAATGCAGCTCATTGTGAGTGGTAGAGTGTGCTTTTGAGTCGACTCAAATGCAGCTCATTGTGAGTGGTAGAGTGTGCTTTTGAGTCGACTCAAATGCAGCTCATTGTGAGTGGTAGAGTGTGCTTTTGAGTCGAGTCAAATGCAGCTCATTGTGAGTGGTAGAGTGTGCTTTTGAGTCGACTCAAATGCAGCTCATTGTGAGTGGTAGAGTGTGCTTTTGAGTCGACTCAAATGCAGCTCATTGTGAGTGGTAGAGTGTGCTTTTGAGTCGACTCAAATGCAGCTCATTGTGAGTGGTAGAGTGTGCTTTTGAGTCGACTCAAATGCAGCTCATTGTGAGTGGTAGAGTGTGCTTTTGAGTCGACTCAAATGCAGCTCATTGTGAGTGGTAGAGTGTGCTTTTGAGTCGAGTCAAATGCAGCTCATTGTGAGTGGTAGAGTGTGCTTTTGAGTCGAGTCAAATGCAGCTCATTGTGAGTGGTAGAGTGTGCTTTTGAGTCGACTCAAATGCAGCTCATTGTGAGTGGTAGAGTGTGCTTTTGAGTCGACTCAAATGCAGCTCATTGTGAGTGGTAGAGTGTGCTTTTGAGTCGACTCAAATGCAGCTCATTGTGAGTGGTAGAGTGTGCTTTTGAGTCGACTCAAATGCAGCCCATTGTGAGTGGTAGAGTGTGCTTTTGAGTCGACTCAAATGCAGCTCATTGTGAGTGGTAGAGTGTGCTTTTGAGTCGACTCAAATGCAGCTCATTGTGAGTGGTAGAGTGTGCTTTTGAGTCGACTCAAATGCAGCTCATTGTGAGTGGTAGAGTGTGCTTTTGAGTCGACTCAAATGCAGCTCATTGTGAGTGGTAGAGTGTGCTTTTGAGTCGACTCAAATGCAGCCCATTGTGAGTGGTAGAGTGTGCTTTTGAGTCGACTCAAATGCAGCTCATTGTGAGTGGTAGAGTGTGCTTTTGAGTCGACTCAAATGCAGCTCATTGTGAGTGGTAGAGTGTGCTTTTGAGTCGACTCAAATGCAGCTCATTGTGAGTGGTAGAGTGTGCTTTTGAGTCGACTCAAATGCAGCTCATTGTGAGTGGTAGAGTGTGCTTTTGAGTCGACTCAAATGCAGCTCATTGTGAGTGGTAGAGTGTGCTTTTGAGTCGACTCAAATGCAGCTCATTGTGAGTGGTAGAGTGTGTGTGAGAAATACAGCTTGTGGTGAGAAGAAGACGGTCTTAGGATGGGGAGAGCAGCTGGGGGTTGTGATGTGAGAGAACCACACGCGAAATAATGAGGAAGAGAGTGCATAGGAGGCTTTTGAGACGTCTCAAAAGACTTGTGAGACGTCTCAAAAGGCAGCTGGGGGTTGTGATGTGAGATGTCGGAAATTCTCTGTGTGGCCCCTCTCTCTTGACTCCTGCCGTTCATGCCTGCAGCCCTCTGGTCACCCCCCTCTTCTCTTGGACTACTCACGTGCCGATCATTCTTGCTATTACTGCTGGGGCACTACCAACTCCTTGTCTGCTGTATACCGTGTGCCGCGTGATAGAACTCCACCGTGAGACCTCACTTGCCATCAGGGGGGCCGGAGTCACATGCCACCCCAAGAAGTGCCGTTTCGGCCCAAACACGGTGCGGTATCTGGGGTTCGAAGTGTGTGGAGGCCAGATGACCATTCAGCAAGCAAAGGTCGCAGTGCTGGACAACCTGGCGATCCCGAACGGTCGCTCCGCGCTGAGGGCAATTCTGGGCTTCTTGAATTACTACCGTAAGTTTGTACCGAACTTTAGTAAGCGGGCGGTTACCCTGAACAGGCTGCTGCGGGAGGATGTGGCCTGGAAGTGGGGAGAGGCGGAGCAGGGGGCACTGCGAGACCTGCTGGAAGCAGTAAAGTCGGGACCGGTGCTTCTGCTGCCTAAACCAGAGGCCAGGTTCGTTCTGTACACAGATTGGAGCAGCGCAGGCATGGGGGCAGTGCTCTGCCAGCAGACAGAGCAGGGAGAGAGGGGTGGCCTTTGCGAGCCGCAGCTGCAACGCAGCGGAGGCAAACTACAGCTCCTACGAGGGGGAAGGTCTGGCGGCGGTCTGGGCGGTGACACACTTCCAAGTATATCTACAGGGGCGCGAGTTCACCCTGGTGACGGACCACCAGCCGCTGCTGTGGCCGATGACTAACCATACGCTGACGGGCCGCAATGCGCGGTGGGCCATGCGGTTGCAAGAGTTCGACTTCGTGGTGAAGCACAGGCCAGGCCGGACGCTCCAGCACATGGATGGGCTATCTTGCAATCCGCCAGCGGCAGAGCCAGTGGCCGGACTCGTGGCTCTGGCAAGGGAGGTGGAGAGGCAGGGGGAGCAGCGTCAGGAGCAGCGCGGAGCTGCCGACATCTGGCAAGATGAAGAGACACTCAGGTGGCTACGGGGAGAAACGCAGGCAGAGGAGCCAGCCTCGGAGAGAGCACGGGCGAGAGGGCAACACTACAGGTGGTATGCGGGGCAGGTGCAGCTGAGGACCAAAGAAGGGTGGAAGCTGGTGCCCGCACCAGCAGAGCGAGAAGGCATCATCGACAGGGTGCACCGGCAGCTGGGACACTTCGGGCACGTCAGGACAACCCAGCTAGTGAACACGGGCTGGTGGTGGGCAGGTATGGCGCGACAGATCAAGGAGCAAGTGGCGCAGTGTGAGGCTTGCGACCGCAAAAGGGCCCAGCTGGAGAGGAGCCAGCAGGAGCTGCAGTCGCTCCCCATCCGCGGGTCGGGCTACAGATGGTCCTTGGGTTTGGCGGGGGAACTGCCTCTTAGCCGGCGAGGCAAGCGGTACATCTTGGTCATGATCGAGCATGTCAGCAAGTGGGTGGAGGTGCGCGCGCTTAGCAGCAAGAGCGCGGCACTAGTCACGGAGGCCTTCACGGAACAGGTGCTCACCAGGATGGGGGCATGTGGTGAAGTGCTCACGGATCAGGGCACAGAGTTCCGGGGGGAATTTTACAAGGCGCTGGCAGCTATCGGGATTACGCACAGGAGGACCTCCCGATATCACCCGCAAGCAGACGGCCTCACAGAGCGCATGGTGCAAACACTCAAGCGAGGGCTAAGGGCATATGGAGAGGCTCACAAGCGCAACTGGGATGAGGATCTGCACTGGGTCGCGGCGGGGTATCGGTTCAGCAAGCAGGCGGCGCTGCGAGATGTGTCCCCATACTATCTGCTGTATGGCAGAGAGCCAATCTTGCCGGTGGGAGCGCCCAAAGTGTTGACGGAAGTGGTGACAGCGGGAACACCAGAGTTGTGGGCGGCGCTAGCCAAGACCAGGGGGGACTACCTACGAGCGCTCCTGCCATCAGCATTAGAAAATCTCCATGTGGCTCAGCTGCGAGACGCTCACCGGTACCAGCAGAGGCTCGGGGGGCAGAGGCCAACATGTGGAGGGGGCTGCAGGAAGGACAGGAAGTGTACCGCAGGACTGCGCGGCAGCACACATTGGACCGCGGCCTCAGCGAGGAACGCTGGAGAGTGGTGGAAGTCCGAGAGTCTGGAGTGGTGGTGCTGGAGAATCAGCAGGGGAGGAGAGTCCAGGACCACACCACGAATACGGCAAGGGCGCGATCCAGGAGCATGGATGGTCTGGACCAGAGCGAGCAGGAGCCCTAGTCTGTTCTAGAGGGGGCAAGTGAGGTATCACGGTGGAGTTCTATCACGCGGCACACTGTATACAGCAGACAAGGAGTTGGTAGTGCCCCAGCAGTAGTAGGAAGAATGATCGGCATGTGAGTAGTCCAAGAGAAGAGGGGGGTGACCAGAGGGCTGCATGCATGAACGGCAAGAGTCAAGAGAGAGGGGCCACACAGAGAATTTTCGACAGCTGTCGCGGTTTTACGAAGCCGGGAGGGCCACATAATAACCGGGACAGCGCCAAGAGTTTATCAGCGGGTGGAGCAGCAGGAATGCAGCAGAGGTAGAATCAGAAGGGCGGAGGGAAGGAGGAACTGTGTACATAAGTGTAAATAGCGCCCAAGAATGTTTGCATGAGAACGTTTGGATACGGGTTGGGGTGTATGCTTCTTTTGTGTGATGTTTATTGTACAGGGCGAGAGCTGTTGACGCGTACAAGCACAACTCAATCGACAGGTGGCAGGAGCTGCTGTACAACATGCAAGCCAAGCGTGCAGCTGGCGGAAGGCTTGCGCTGGAGCCCATGCAGATCCAGAGCGCCTGCGGTTTGTAAATACGACTCGGCACCCCCGAGCCTCGCCCGTGTGATGTATGCGTGCTAGACGCGCTAGGCTAGGGCGGAAGAGTCATGTTGTACATAGCTGTGCTGAAACCCTAGTGTTGGCTGCTTCGTTGTATGTTTCCCATTTTGCTCCAAACCAGTTGAGCCGGGTAAATCCCCCTGAGCTTCCTTGCGTGGTTGAAGGCCATTTTGTGCACCACAGGGTCTATTTCCACTAGTATCCACTTCTTCACTCTGCACCCCGCCTTTAGTGCTGCCGCCAGCCCCGTACCGATCCCTCCGAACAGCTCGACGATGGTGATCGGTTCCTGCAGGCGAGTCAAATCTGTCAGCCGCGGGGGCAACGCCAGGGGCCGCTCAGCCCTCTCTTCTTCCGCTTTGCGTGTCTCCTGCTCTAGCACGTATTGCTTCCAGGACAAGTCTTTGATCTGTTCTTCCACTTCCGCCATGCGCGCTCGAAAGGCCTCCCTCGGCTCACGCCTGACGAAGTGTACTGGCAGCGTGCCCACGGGCCCGTCGTCCCTCCAGTACTGTGTCCGGTAGAGGACTTTCTCCTGCCGGGTGCAGATGGTGGCACCCACCCGATACAGCAGCTCCATGCCTATCAGCAAATTGAAATCTTCCGACGGCGAGATACCGCAACGCATTCGGATTCGGCATTCGTCCTTGGTGCCTGGCTGCAAGATCACTTCCACTGGCATGCGGGTGCAGGGCATCCACTTCGGCTCTCCTCCCTCCGCAGTCATGACCAGAATGCCTCGTGTAATGAGCCGGTTCGGCAGGTCCAGCTCCAGCCTCTGAGCCAGGCCTTTCCCTAGAAGGATGTGATGCGCTCCTGTATCGATGATGGCTTGTGCCACCGTCACTCCTCCCACCGTGATTGCCCCGCTTTCGATTGTTAGCACCGATGGCTGACAAACCATGCGCTCCTTGGGATGCCTTTCTGACGTCATTTCTTGCTCCGGTTCTGCCGCGTACCCACGAAACCGCCTCACCCTCGGGGCCGGCAGCTGCCTCCTCTCCCCTCGATCACTTCTGAGTTCAATCTCCTCTCGCTGCCGCGGGGCCCGTACCACGAGCACAAACTCTGCTTCGCTACCTCCTTCCTCCTCCTCCCTTGCCAGCATGGCGGACTCCTTGCGAGCCGAACCTTCCAACTCCCGAATCCTTGCCTGCAGCACCAGAAGTTGCGCCTCCAAGTCTTTCTCGTTCCTCGGTCCCGCTGACCCCGGCCTCCGGCTATAGCAATCAGAGGTACGATGCCCTCGCCTGCTGCAGTTCTCGCAGGTGGGGAGTTCTGGACATTCCCGTCGCGTGTGCCCTTCCTTTTGGTTGTGATCGCACCTCGGCGGCCTGCTGCAATCCCGCTGCAGATGTCCCTCCTGTCCGCACCGATGGCACCTGCGCGTCTCCGCATCTCGTGCGGCCCGCCTGCCGGAAGATTCTCCGGCTGCCACGGCCGCCCAGGCTGACCCGCGTCGTTCTTCGGCCTCCATGCCGCCTCTCTCCATCTCGTAGAGGCGGAGCCCCAGCTTGTGTTTCTTCGCCAGCTCATACGCGTACTCCAGTGTCGCCGATGGTCCCATCTCGAACACCCTTCCTCGTACGTCCCCGGCCACCCGCTCGTCCAGGCAGTTAAGGAACTTGGAGACCAGCCTCCACTCATCTCTGCATTCCATGTCCGCCGCGAGCTCGCGCAGTCTGCCGTATGTCGCTAGTAGAGACTCTCCCACCTTCCTTTTGAACGACGCGAACTCCCTCATACGCTCTGGCGTCTGCATGGGGAAGTGGCTCTTCAACGTGTCGAAGAACTGCGCCACCACGTCCCAGGTCACTCCGTTGGCTTGCGCCGGCTCACTCAGCATGCGTTCCAGCTCCATGCCGTATGCAGTCTCCGCCTCTCCTGTCACCATGTTTGAGAGCCCTCGGAAAAAGTCTACTGGCTCCAGCCCATCCTTCATCCAGCGATACTGCGCGTTGCGGATCTGCATCATATAATTTTTCAGACTGCTGCCCACGCCCGGCGTGCCCGCGAAGCGCTCGAGAACTTCGATCTTGGGTAGTGCGGCGTACCTCACGTTGCCTGCCCGCGTTACTTCCATCGCTTGATGTTCTGACAAGGAGAGACGCCTCAAGCGTCCGAGCAGCTCGCCGTCGGTGCAGCTCTCCCCCCGCGTTTCTACTACGCATTGTTGTGACCCCACCGCGGTTGCTTCTACCAGCGGTCTCCCCGACGAGCTTTCTCTCGCGTCTCGGCCTTCGCTCGGTAGGTCACCCATGCTGTGCCTCCGATGCGGTGCCGTGTAGGTTCCCCAGCGGGCGCCGGCTTCCATCTCGCCCGCTTGCGTACCTCCACTGCTACACGTGACTTCTCCCGCCCGCCATCCTGGCGTAGCCATCGCCGCCAACACCGGCGGCCGTTCATAACGCTTCCCAGACCGTATCTGCATGCACCGTCTATGGCTCTTCACTCCAGAGATTTTCTTCGTTGTATGTCAGAAAACCTCCTCTCTGCTAGTGGCTGGCAAGCTGGTTCCCTAGCGTGCTCATGATCACCCGTGACTGGTATAACAAGATTACATTGGAGCAGTTGGGAAACATACAACGAAGCAGCCAACACTAGGGTTTCAGCACAGCTATGTACAACATGACTCTTCCGCCCTAGCCTAGCGCGTCTAGCACGCATATATCACACGGGCGAGGCTCGGGGGTGCCGAGTCGTATTTACAAACCGCAGGCGCTCTGGATCTGCATGGGCTCCAGCGCAAGCCCTCCGCCAGCTGCACGCTTGGCTTGCATGTTGTACTGCAGCTCCTGCCACATGTCGATTGAGTTGTGCTTGTACGCGTCAACAGCTCTCGCCCTGTACAGGAAATGTCACACAAAAGAAGCATACACCCCAACCCGTATCCCAACGTTCTCATGCAAACATTCTTGGGCGCTATTTACACTTATGTACACAGTTCCTCCTTCCCTCCGCCCTTCTGATTCTGCCTCTGCTGCATTCCTGCTGCTCCACCCGCTGATAAACTCTTGGCGCTGTCCCGGTTATTATGTGGCCCTCCCGGCTTCGTAAAACCGCGACCGAGAGAACCACACACACACGAAATAATGAGGAAGAGATTGCACAGGAGGCTTTTGAGACGTCTCAAAATGCAGCTGGGGGTTGTGATGTGAGAGAACCACACACACACGAAATAATGAGGAAGAGAGTGCACAGGAGACCCCTAATTAGGCTTAGAGGAAGAGGGCAGAGGGCAGAGGAAGAGGGCAGAGGGCAGAGGAAGAGGGCTGAGTGCAGAGGAAGAGGGCAGAGGGCAGAGGAAGAGGGCAGAGGGCTGAGGAAGAGGGCTGAGTGCAGAGGAAGAGGGCTGAGTGCAGAGGAAGAGGGCTGAGTGCAGAGGAAGAGGGCTGAGTGCAGAGGAAGAGGGCTGAGTGCAGAGGAAGAGGGCAGAGGGCAGAGGAAGAGGGCTGAGTGCAGAGGAAGAGGGCTGAGTGCAGAGGAAGAGGGCTGAGTGCAGAGGAAGAGGGCTGAGTGCAGAGGAAGAGGGCAGAGTGCAGAGTAAGAGGGCAGAGGGCAGAGGAAGAGGGCTGAGTGCCGAGGAAGAGGCCTGAATGCAGAGGAAGAGGGCTGAGTGCCGAGGAAGAGGGCTGAGTGCAGAGGAAGAGGGCTGAGTGCAGAGGAAGAGGGCTGAGTGCAGAGGAAGAGGGCTGAGTGCAGAGGAAGAGGGCTGAATGCAGAGGAAGAGGGCTGAGTGCAGAGGAAGAGGGCAGAGTGCAGAGGAAGAGGGCAGAGTGCAGAGGAAGAGGGCTGAGTGCAGAGGAAGAGGCCTGAGTGCAGAGGAAGAGGGCAGAGGGCAGAGGAAGAGGGCAGAGTGCAGAGGAAGAGGGCAGAGTGCAGAGGAAGAGGGCTGAGTGCAGAGGAAGAGGGCAGAGGGCAGAGGAAGAGGGCTGAGTGCAGAGGAAGAGGGCTGAGTGCAGAGGAAGAGGGCTGAGTGCAGAGGAAGAGGGCTGAGTGCAGAGGAAGAGGTCTGAGTGCAGAGGAAGAGGGCTGAGTGCAGAGGAAGAGGGCTGAGTGCAGAGGAAGAGGGCAGAGTGCAGAGGAAGAGGGCAGAGTGCAGAGGAAGAGGGCTGAGTGCAGAGGAAGAGGCCTGAGTGCAGAGGAAGAGGGCAGAGTGCAGAGGGAGAGGGCAGAGTGCAGAGGAAGAGGGCTGAGTGCAGAGGAAGAGGCCTGAGTGCAGAGGAAGAGGGCTGAGTGCAGAGGAAGAGGGCAGAGGGCAGAGGAAGAGGGCTGAGTGCAGAGGAAGAGGGCTGAGTGCAGAGGAAGAGGGCTGAGTCCAGAGGAAGAGGGCTGAGTGCAGAGGAAGAGGGCTGAGTGCAGAGGAAGAGGGCTGAGTGCGGAGGATGAGGGCTGAGTGCGGAGGAAGAGGGCAGAGTGCGGAGGAAGAGGGCAGAGTGCAGAGGAAGAGGGCTGAGTGCGGAGGATGAGGGCTGAGTGCAGAGGAAGAGGACTGAGTGCAGAGGAAGAGGGCTGAGTGCAGAGGAAGAGGGCAGAGGGCAGAGGAAGAGGGCTGAGTGCAGAGGAAGAGGGCTGAGTGCAGAGGAAGAGGCCTGAGTGCAGAGGAAGAGGGCTGAGTGCGGAGGATGAGGGCTGAGTGCGGAGGAAGAGGGCAGAGTGCGGAGGAAGAGGGCAGAGTGCAGAGGAAGAGGGCTGAGTGCGGAGGATGAGGGCTGAGTGCAGAGGAAGAGGACTGAGTGCAGAGGAAGACGGCTGAGTGCAGAGGAAGAGGGCTGAGTGCAGAGGAAGAGGGCTGAGTGCAGAGGAAGACGGCTGAGTGCAGAGGAAGAGGGCTGAGTGCAGAGGAAGAGGGCTGAGTGCAGAGGAAGAGGGCTGAGTGCAGAGGAAGAGGGCAGAGTGCAGAGGAAGAGGGCTGAGTGCAGAGGAAGAGGCCTGAGTGCAGAGGAAGAGGGCTGAGTGCAGAGGAAGAGGGCAGAGGGCAGAGGAAGAGGGCAGAGTGCAGAGGAAGTGGGCTGAGTGCAGAGGAAGAGGGCTGAGTCCAGAGGAAGAGAGCTGAGTGCAGAGGAAGAGGGCTGAGTGCAGAGGAAGAGGGCTGAGTGCGGAGGATGAGGGCTGAGTGCAGAGGAAGAGGGCTGAGTGCGTAGGAAGAGGGCAGAGTGCAGAGGAAGAGGGCTGAGTGCGGAGGAAGAGGGCTGAGTGCAGAGGAAGAGGGCTGAGTGCAGAGGAAGACGGCTGAGTGCAGAGGAAGACGGCTGAGTGCTGAGGAAGAGGGCTGAGTGCAGAGGAAGAGGGCCTTCTCTCTCTCTCCGTCTCTCTCTCCCCTCACCCTCACTACTCCGTTTTGTTTGAGATTAGTTTTGAGAATTCTCAAAGCTAACCTCCACTTGCAGGCCTTCAGGTCAGCTTCAGGACGAGTTACCTGTTGGATCCAGGTCGAAACTGCTTTGCTATGCCTTCAGGTCAGCTTCCCCCACCTCGACCTCCTGTGTCTCAGCGGATCCTGCTTCCCCACTCTCCCTGACACCCTCCCGCCCTCCCCTCCCTCTTACTCTCCTCTCGCCCCCACCATCCTGCAGGCCCTCGGTTGCCCCCACCTCGAGAAAGGAGTGTTTTGAGACGTCTCAAAACACTCCTTTCACGTGGCACCATCCTGCAGGCCCTCGGTTGCCCCCACCTCGACCTCCTGTGTCTCAGCGGATCCTGCTTGCCCATCTTCCCTCACGCCTCCCCTTTCCCCTCGTTCTCCCTTCTCTTCTCCCCCACTTGCAGGCCCTCTGTTTTGAGACGTCTCAAAACACTCCTTCTTTCACGTGCCCTCTGTTGCCCCCATAACGGGCTGCTCTGCCTCACTGGATCCTGCTTCCCCATCTTCCCTCACGCCTCCCCTTTCCCCTCGGTTCTCCCTTCTCTTCTCCCCCACTTGCACGCCCTCTGTTGCCCTCATAACGGGCTGCTCTGCCTCAGCGGATCCTGCTTCCCCATCCTCTCTCTCACGCCCTCCCTGCCTGCATTCCTACACCCTTGCTACTCGCCCAACCTGTTACCATCCTTTCAGGCCCTCTGTTGCCCCCATTTCGAGCTGCTCTGTCTTACCCCGTTCACGACCATCCTGCGTTTCCCATCCTCCCTGATTCCTTCCCTCTGCCACTCGCTCTCCCATCCCATCGCTCTCCCTTCGCTCTTTCCTCCAACGCCCCTCACAACTCCCCCAGTTGCTGGCCCTCATTGCCCCCATCTCGAGCTGCTGTGTCTCAGAGGTTCTTGCTTTCCCATCCTCCCTCACGTGATTGAACAAGGGTTTTGAGACGTCTCAAAACCCGTCTTCAATCAGAGGTTCTCGCTCGCCCATCCTCCCTCACGCCCTCTTCCTGCGTCCCTCCGTGTGACTCTTTTTTCCCCGTCCTTCCTCCCCCATCTCCTCTTCGCCCCGTCCCACCCCTCACTACTCCCCACGTCAATGCAGGCCCTTAATTGCTCCCATCTCGAGCTGCTGTGTCTCGGCGGCTCCTGCTTTCCCATTCTTCCTGACGCTCTTCCCCTGCCCTCCCTCTCGCGCCTCCTCCTCTCACTCCCTCCCCGCCTCGTCCCATCCTCCCTGCTCTCCCGCCTGGCGTCTGCCTGCCCACTGCCAAGCGCAGCAGACGCAGCAGCAGCAGGGGTGGGTGCAGCAGGAGAAAGAGCAGCAGCACAAGGAGCTTTAGTAGCTTCAGCAGCATCAGAAGCAGGGGGGGGTGCAGCTGAAAGCGCAGCAACAGGAGTGGGCGCAGCAGCAACAGCAGCAGAAACAGCAGCAGGAGGTACAATAACAGCAGCACAGGGAGCAGCAGCAGCAGCAGCAGAAAGAACACCAGCAAGTGCAGCAATAGCAGCGACAGCAGCTGGAGGGGTAGCAGCAGCAGCAGCGGGAGCAGCAGCAGCAGCAACCGCAGCAGCAGTGAACGGGAGAGACGCAGCACCATTTGCAGCATGGGGGGAACGGGACGCACGGAGGCAGGTGCAACTGGGGGGTTTGCAATGGGGGGTGATGCAAGCAGGGGGGGTGCAATGGGGGGCGGTGCAACCAGGGGGGGTGCAGTGGGGAGAGGGGGAGGCGCGGAGACAGGTGCAACTGGGGGAGATGCGGGCAGGGTTGGGGGAGTTGCGGCTTGGTGTATGGGGGGGAAGGGAGGCGCAGAGACAGGTGCAACTGGGGGAGATGCGGGCAGGGTTGGGGGAGTTGCGGCTTGGTGCATGGGGGGGAAGGGAGGCGCAGAGACAGCCGGGGGGACAGGTGCAGAGACAAGTGCGGCCGGGGGAGGCACTAGGTGGCGTGGCAGTGCTGCTGGAGAGGCTTCAACTGGTGGAGGTGTCTTTCTGGGAGAAGGGAGAGGTGGACGATATGAGGTGAGGGAATGAAAGGAACAATGGAATGGCCAAACCACCTTAGAGTCGACACCAAACCAAACCACCAGAGTTTCCACCTTTCTCCCTCTGCTTGGTGGGGTTTCGTTGCTGCTGGGGAGGGTGCAACTGGTGGAGGTGTCATTTGGGGGGATGGGCGTTATTAAGGACACGAGGTAATTAATAAGTCTGGAAAGCCTCTCGTAAAATCTTGTTTCCATTATACTTGTTTCCATTATAGCGGACCTGATTATTATGTAGCTGGGTTAAGTAGTTATGAAACAGATGGTAAGAAAAGAAATAAAATGTTAAGGTAATGAGATTGAAGATTTTACAGTATGAAAAAGCGGTATTCCTCCACACTCTCTTGATTGCAGGGATGCTTTCAGTTCCCTCCCCTACCCACCTCTCCTCCTTAAACCTCTCCACGGATTGAGGGGCACTTATTGCCGCTCACATTTGCATTTGATCAAAGCCACCTGCCATCTCGCTCGTTTCTCCCCAACTCGCATTGCTTTGCTTGCAGAAATGTTGTTAGCTCCCTCCCCAACCCACCTCTCCTCCTCGATCTCTCCACAGACCGAGGGGCACTTAACCCTTATCTCCTTATCCCTTCTTCCTTCCCTTCTCCCCAACCCCCTCCTCGTTTTACTTTCAGGGATGTTATTAGTTCCCTCCCCCACCCGCCTCTCCTCCTAGACCTTTCCACTGATCGAGGGGCACTCATTGCCGCCCATATCTCTCGTCATGCCGCCCGGATTCACGCCCGTGCTGCCCAGGGCGTCTCTCATGCTGCCGCCCATACCCGCTGGCACCTTCCGTCCTTTGCGGGCGCTTCCGGGCAAGTGGTAGCAGTGCAAGCGACAGCAGCAGAGGCAGCAGCGCAAGAGAGGGTAGCAGAGGCAGCAGCACCAGAGGTGATAGCAGGGCAAGTGGCAATAGCAGGAGCAGCAGCGGCAGAGGAAAAGGTTGCGCAGGTGAGAGTAGCAGAAGAAGAAGCAGCCGAGACGATAGAGGCAGCAGCACCAGGAACATCAGCTGTTGCCGATAGGGCAACATCTCCTCCTCCTGCTGTTGCAGGGGCGAATTCTCCTCCTCCTGCTGTGGCTGCAGCAGCTGGTGCAGCCCGTCACTTGTGCCGGCAGTGTGTGAGGGCCACTCGCCCTGTCAGACCAGCATCCGCCCCTATTCCCACTTCAGACGAGTGCTGCTGTGAGCTGGACTGGCTGGGGAAAGTGCGGGGGCAAGGACTCGAGCCCAACTCTTGTTCGCATGGTAGCAACACAGGCGGCAGCAGCAGCAACAGCATTTTTGGGAGCAGCAGTAGCAGCAGCAGTGGCAGCAGCAGCAACGCTCTTGGCAATAGCACTATGCTCCCTTTTTCTCTCTCTCTCCCCTCTTCCAATCCTCCTTCCCCATCCCCCTCCTTCTCTCTCCCCCCATCCGCCCTCCTCTGGTCTCTCCGCTCTGCTGCTGGCTGTAGCAGCCTCCAGCAGCGCTCCCCCCTCCACGTGGCAGCCCTGCTGCAGGATACACGTGGCGCCCAGGCATTGGTTGACGTGGTTGGGCTCGGGGGGAGGGCGCTGGGGTTGGGGAGGTGGGGGGAGTGGGGGGGTAGGGGGAGGGGGGTGCCGGGGAGGGTGTATTGTGGTGGGGAAAAGGGAGAGGAGGGGAAAGGGAGAGAGGAGGAGGGAGAGGATGGGGAGCAGGAGAAGGAGGAGGCTCTCAGTGAGAGGATGAACAGGAGGTTATGGGAGGAGTGGGAGAGAGAGGAAGAGGAGGTGGAGAGGGGGGTGAGGGAGTGGGAAAAGGAGGAGGAAGAGGAGGAGAGGGGGGGAAAGGCAGAGGAGTTGGAAGGGCAAGAGGGGCAAGGGAGGGACGAGGAGCAGGAGGGCAAGAGAGGCAGGAGCAAGGGAGGCGAGGGCAAGAGAGGCGAGGGCAAGAGAGGCGAGGGCACGAGAGGCGAGGGCATGGGATTTGACATAGGAGGGGAGGGGCGGCTGGTGGTGAATATGAGGGACAAGGGAGGAGCCACGGCGCTGTTTCTTGCGGCAGAGGCTGGCGATGCGTGGACCGTGGAGGTGGGTGGGTGGGGGGGAGTGGTGAGCGGGAGTTGGAGGGGGTGTTGATGGGTGGGTGGGCCCTTAGGGGAAAGGGGGTGAGAGGGTGGTTGTGTTGTTTTGCTGGTAGTCTTTCTCTATATGCAGTTGTACTCCCCCGCCACTTTCCCCACAGGTGCTACTTCAAGCAGGTGCGGACATGGCAGTGGGCAACAGGGGCGAGGAGACACCTCTTTACATCGCCTCACTCAAATGCCACCTCTGGGTGGTGCGGCAGCTGCTCACACCCACACATACCCTTACACCCCTGCGCCACTCGGTCTCTCCCTCACTCCCCCACTCACAGGTGCTGCTACAAGCAGGTGCGGACATGGCAGTGGGCAACCGGGGCGAGGAGACACCACTCTACATCGCCTCACTCAAAGGCCACCTGTGGGTGGTGCGGCGGCTGCTGGGGCACTGCAGGAGGCGAGGGCTGGACTGGCAGGGGGATGCAAGCCTGCACAGGGGAGGTGAGCTTCTGGGTGTGGATTTCACCCCTTGACTGGGGCACTCAAAGGTCACCTGTGGGTGGTGCAGCGGCTGCTGGGGCACTGCAGGAGGCGAGGGCTGGACTGGCAGGCAGGCAGATGCGAGCATTCACAGGGGAGGTGAGATGTGAGGAGTGGAGAGGGGTGGGGAGGTGTGGGGTCTGGCGATTGATCTCTTAACTGGCAATAATGGGCCACATGTGGGTGGTGCGGCGGCTGCTGGGGCACTGCAGGAGGCGAGGGCTGGACTGGCAGGGGGATGCGAGCTTGCACCGGGGAGGTGAGATGTGGGCTGGGGATTCATCCCTTATATGGTGGTTAAGGGTTGCTCCTTGTGGGTGGTGAGGCAGGAGAGGTGAGGCAGGAGAGGTGAGGCAGATGCGAGCTTGCACAGGGGAGGTGAGGCGAATGGTTGGGAAGGCAGAGCGGGGGATGTGAGCCTGCACATTTAAGTCCCTGCACAGGGGAGGTAAGATGTCGGCGCCTATTAAAGGCACCCTCACATGGTCGTTAGTTAGTCCCTGGGAAGGACCTTAAGGGCCACCTGCGGGTGGTGCGGCGGCTGCTGGGGCACTGCAGGAGGAGAGGGCTGGACTGGCAGGGGGATGTGAGCCTCCACAGGGGAGGTGAGATGTGGGGTGTAAAGAGTAGACTGTCACCATTTTGAGAATTCTCAAAGGCAGCAGAGAGGTGCAGAGCGTATGAGAGGTCAGCGGAGGTGAGGTGATTGGTTTAGCGGCGTGTGGTGAGGTGCCTGTGTGTTTTGATTCACACACCCTCACCCATGCACACACTGCCGTGACACAGAGACGAGTATACAAACAACTTCACTCAATCCCAACCCCCTTCTCCCATGCAGGCTCTGGCTGGACGCCCCTCATGGCAGCAGCACTGTCGAACCACACCCACGTGCTGCACTCATCTTACTCCTTCCCTTCTGCTCCTCCTACGGCAATTCCTTTCCACTCTCCCTATGCAGGCTCTGGGTGGACACCCCTCATGGCAGCAGCGCTGTCTAATCACACCCACGTGCTGCACACTCTGCTGACCCACCATGTACACACCCACCAATCTCAAGACGACACATCATCACCAGCCTTTATCAACAAGCAGAATACCTATGGCCTAACAGCACTGCACATAGCAGCGAGGTACGGGTCCTTGGATTGCATTCAATCTCTGCTGGCTGCAGGCGCGTTCACTGCCGTGCCGGACCTGTATGGCGAGCGGCCGTCGGGCCTGGCGAGGAGGTTCGGGCATTCCGAGGCTGTTCAGCTGCTGCTGGCGGTGGAAGAGGTGGAGATTGGATTGGGAGGGGAAGAAGATGGGGGTAATGGGAGCAAGGGGGGCGATGAGGGAAAGGATGGCAAGGGTGGCAAGGGGAAGAGGGCAAGGAGGAAGGGGAGGAAGGCCAAGGGCATCGAGGAGAATTGATGCATGGTTCTGCCTCTTACGGTTGCTATGCTGTTTTGCCAAGCTGACAGAATGAAGGCTGGCTAGCCTAACGTGGCTTGATGAATTCTGTTGACAAATTTGTACAATTTCTAGTGTTCCACATACCAGGGTAAAATTTGACAAATTTGCACATTTTCTAGGGTTCGTCTCTTTACGAATATGATATGTTTTAATACAACAAAATTACACGCAAGCCGTGCTAAAGGCGAAATGAGCTGCATAGCTCGACTTATTCCTGTCAGCCTGTGCGACGTTTGCTGGTCGCATGCGTCGTCCAAGCGACACTGTATAACGTCCTCTCGGACGATTATTTTCCCGTTCAGCTTGTCCCAAAACGTCTTCAGGACCAGGTTCGCCCGCATGCAACGGAGATTATTGCTTCGTTACAAGTCCGGCGGAAGCATGATGGACGTAATGCCGTGGACGATGGTGTTACGCCCTCGCTGCATGTCGCCTGATACAATCGTCGTCGGAATAAACCCCCTCCCCTTTAGCTGCACGATGAGTTTCGTGTTCTTTCGCGAAACCTTCGTGATCATCCCGCCTTCGTACGTCGGAATCTTCGATTGAGGCGGCATCGCTTTGAGCTCCATGAAATCGTACAGACCCTTTGCGATATGAAATCTGAAAATTTTCATCGCCACGGCGCGCGGGTACGATTGCATGGTCACGCGAATCATCCCCGTGTCGACTGGCATGAAAATGGTTCGCTTTTTCTTGATCAGTCGGAAGCCGCCTCCTTTCCCCTTTTTGGGAGGCTTGGGAAATGTGGGAAGCGCCTCTGCAAATAAAGAAAGAAAGAACGGGCAGCGTTTATGACGGGATTCGTGGGAGTGGGGAAGGGGAAGAGAAAGGGAGACGAAGAAACAATGAGGTATGGAACGAATAATTGAGAGCCAATACAGGAAGGAAGCGACGGAACCATGAGTTGTCAGGGATTAGGTTGATGAGGTGTTGCGATGGAGACACTAAGGAAATAGGGGAATAAAACAGAACCTCTCATTGGGTCCAAGAACGAAATAGCCACTAAAGAAAAGACGTCGAACGAGTCGTTATTTTCACACAGCCAAAGCTGGTGGAGAAAGAAGACGAGCATTCGGCCGCTGAGGATCCACCCATTCACATGCATCACCATTCGTAAGAGAGGTGAGCTTTGAGAATACAGAGATTGGGAGTGCGAATCCATGAGTCGACTCAGAAGTCACCTCGACAAGAAAGAGTTTGGAATCAGCACCCCTTCCCTGGAATGTAGGGCCCTTATGCGCTGCTACAAGCCGACTCACCATGCTGTCATAAGCTGACTCACTGTCGACACGAGTTGGTTAGTGAAGTAGATGTAATTCCGAAACTATCTCACAGGCGCCTCAGTATAGTAAGTTCGCGTAGACACCTGCATGATTATGAAGCCACTCAATGTGCCCTGATAACTCACGGGACGATAAGAGTTGGTTAGCGAAGTAGCTGTAGTTCCCCATCTTCGCGACCTCTTGCAGAACCTCTATTAAATCGTCATCGTCGTCTTCACCTTCATCCTCGATACTAGCATTTTGAGGCGTCTTAGCACCGCCGAGTGCGGCGCCACCGCGGAGGGGCCCGCCGGGGCTGCCGCTACCGCTGGTGCCACTGCTGCTAACAGCGGGGAGCAGTGCCGAAGAGAGCAGAGCTACGAGGCAGAGGAGCAGCAGTGCGAGCCTGATTGGGACTCGCATGGTCACCGTTTGGATGGCACTCGTGCTTTTTTAGGACAAGTTAGAGGCGCGCTGTTACGCGAAGCGGATAGCTTTTTGGAAGCAACGAGGCGAAAAGGTCAACAACCGGCAGGCGATTAATTAACTAAGGTCTGACAGCGTACGCGTTGTTGCAATAGACTATCTTCAAGCTGTTCTAATCGTTTCGAACTCCCTTTCACGATGTCAAACCGTAAGCTACTTTCTAGGGCTTCGATATGTATTGCTGCAAAAGGGATCCGACTTGTTTAGCGCGTCCTTCCGTCGAGCGAAGCGTAAATGTCGGTCTTAAAACAAAACCGTCGGCTTTTTATGAGAAGGCCTGTCGGCAGCAGGGATAGTGATGGGCCAAGCGCTGTCTGGACGGTATGCGGGGCTTTCTGCCTTCGAACGTGCTGCGGAAGAAGTGTATCCATGTATGATGGCACTTGATGGGCCCATGAAATCTGGAAATGCTAAACCCGCACTTGCTTACTGTCAGCAGGTGGTGTGTTGTACGTGACCTACTCATTTCCAAGTTGTTGGGTGCACCAGTTGTGAGAATGGGAGGGAGAGGGGCGTGGGAGAAAAGCGCGCAAATTTGTCAATGTTGAAAGTGAATTCGAATCTGCGCAGTCGGGCCGCATGTTCCGTCCTTCCTGATGCGTAGCCGAGTCGCAATGTCGGTTGTCGCGAAACCCATACATCAGGTTCGCCGATGGTGACTTATCTCGCCAAAGTGTTTATCCCCTGTCTACGATGCGCCACGTGCTGGCTGTCAGGCTGAAAGCACGTCCCTCATTAGATTCCACTGCATAATTCACCCTCTATAGTTGCAATATCGTTCTTCTGACGGCTATACACTTTTTGCATAAAACCATAGGGAGTAATAGCACTTGATTGACACGCCTTTTAGGAAAATCATTACAGCATTTAATTCATTTGTGAACGTACCACATCATGGTTAAGGAATAATTTCGAGTGCACATAATCCTATATCATTATGAGCTGTATAGTCAAAAGTTGCACGTTTTCTATATGGACAATGCATGAAGGTTGAAGGTACACTCCCACTAAGCCCTTACGCCTTGTTGTCTGTTACGAGTGCAATTGAGTGAACGAACGAGAATTGCACTATCGAAGCAAAGAGTACAATGAGCGAAGGCATGAGCGAAGGGTTATATAGCGAAAACAATAGTGGTAACGGTAATGGACTGTGGTTGTCGCGCGACGAGCCTGGGGCTGAGGTTGGGAAAGTGTCGAAGCGTAGGCCCGGAGCGCGGGTTACCAGCCGAGCCGTGAGGTCGGGATGCGATGTGCGAAGAGGGCGGGATAATGAATGATGCGATGGTCGTGAGTGGTAACGGTGCTGACTGAGGTGCTACAGTGACGTACGCGTTGAGCAGGGACGCGAAGTAAGGAAAAGGGAATTTCCTTACACTACCCCCCCTCCCCAAGGAGGCCCCTCTTACGAGAGCGCGTGGACTTCGCGGAAATTTCGGCTTCGCAGATACTCGTGGAAGACAGGGTGGTTCTCAATTTTATCCAGGGGGACCCAGTTATCTTCTGTGGGCGTTCGGTCCTTCCAGCGAATTAGGAACTCTATCCTTCGGGCTCCCCGAGGGTCGCGGACTCGGTGGCTGAGGATTTTTTCAGGGGTGATGAGTGGTTCGGTTGGGGGACGTGTCATGCTGGCTGGGCGATTTCGTGGCAGTTGGCTCGTGGATGGGATGTAAGGGCGAAGTAGGCTGACGTGGAATGACGGGCTGACGTACCAGTCAGCAGGGAGGAGGAGGTGGGCGGTGACGGGTGTGATCATGTGGCTGATGCGGAACGGCCCACAATACCGGGGGCGAAGTTTTGGAGTGATGGGCAGGCGAAGATTCTGAGTGTCGAGTAATACGAGGTCGTCGGGCTGATAAGTAACGGGTCTGGGATGTCGATCGGCGTTACGTTTAGCGATGATGTTTGATTTTTTTATTGCTTCTGCTGCCCTGGTTCGTGCTGCTTGCAGAATCTCGGCGAACTGTTGTGCTCATGGGACTGGGTTGTCGGGATTCGGTGTCATGGGTACTGTTGGGTCCTGTCCGTAATTCAAATAAAACGGTGACTGTTGCGTCGTGGCTGATGGTGCGTTATTGTATGCGAATTCGATAAGTGGCAGCTGCTGTTCCCACGCATTCGGGTCGTCGCACGTGGCTCGAATCAGCTGCTCCATGGTCTGATTTGTCCGTTCCGTCTGTCCGTCGGTTTCGGGGTGATAGGATGAACTGAACTGTAAGCGCGTGCCGAACTGCTGCCACAGGTTCCGCCAGAAGTTGCTGGTAAATTTCGTGTCTCTGTCGCTGATGATCGACGCGGGTATCCCGTGCAGTCGTACGACGGTGGAGATGAATAGTCGGGCGGTTTCTTCGGCTGTGATGGATTTCCTGCATGCTGCGAAATGAGCCATTTTCGTTAGTCGATCGACGACGACCAGGATCGCGTCATTCCCACTCGCCCCAGCTGGTAACCCCGTGACGAAGTCCATCGTCACCTGCTGCCAAGCACGCTCTGGAGGCGGGATGGGTTGTAATTGCCCCGCTGGTCGCTTCCTGCTTGACTTCATGAGCTGGCAAGTGGGACACGATGCCACGTGTCGTTGCACATCGGTCAACATTTCTGGCCAGTAGTAGTACCGCTGCAGCTGCTGCCGTGTTTTTTCTACCCCGAAATGTCCCGAGGTAACTCCCTCGTGTGCTTCCTGTAACAGTAGTTCCCGCAGTAGCGTGTATCCCGGTACCCAGATGCGGTCGGTTCCAGTTTTTACGTAATAGACTCCTTTTGCCGCTGCGAATTGCTGTGAGTTGCCTCCTGTAAAGAACGAGTCTGTTTGATATCCGTGGGTAAATAGGCCGGTAAGCAGTGGGCTGGTCTGGGCGAGTAGTATCGCGTGGATCTGGGCAGTGGGGCGGGTCAGTGCGTCGGCGATATTCGATGCTCCTTTTTTGTATGTGACCGTATAGTGAAAATTCGACTCGAGGAAATCGAGCCATCGAATCTGTCGTGGGTTGAGGTGGGGCTGTGCGCGGAGGTACTGTAGAGATCGGTGGTCTGTCCGTACTGTCACGTCTGCGCCAGTCAAGTAGCAGCGCCAAACTTTGAATGCATGCACGATCGCGAGCATTTCGCGGTCGTGTATCGGGTAATTTCGCTTAGGCGGATGTAGTTTGCGTGATTCGTAGGCGATGGGTTGGAGGCCGTTGCCGAAGTCCTGTAACAGTACAGCTCCGA